ATGGTCGCATGTGTTATATGGAAAAATCGTTCATGAGTGTAAATTGATTGTTGCTGTTGTTTATCTTTCACTCCTGAATAATGTTTGCTGATCCCCTCTCCGGTAATTACACCGCACTCACATCTATACCCCTGGGTGGGTGTATGTGCGGCCGTTTTTGCGCTGTCATGTGTGCGCATGTGCGCGGCATGTGCCAGTCATGTGCCAGGCCTGTGCGGCCCTTCTCGGATGGACTTCCTCCTGTGCACGTCGTGCCCAGGCATGTGCGGGGGCATGTGCGCTGTGTCGTGATGTATCCATCATACGCACATGCACGCACAGTCCGACGCACATGCGCGCACATGCCTGCACATGCGGGAGGTGTTCGAGAATCGCAGATCTGTCATCGGCACATGCACGCACATGCCTGTGCAACCTCTCTTCGGGAGGCCGCGCGGGCCCGCACATGCACGCACATGCGGTGAAGCGCGCGGGCGCACATGCGTGCACATCCCAATGCACATGCACGCTCATGCCCTAGGAGCTGTCTGGGACCCCTGTGCCTCCAATGCCTCCTGGCCTTCGCAGAGCTAACCTGGGGCGTGCCAGGGCTTCCTGAAAGAGTTTGTTGTGCGTTTAGACTCGCCCGCTGCTGGCGGGGGCGGTTCTTCGCCCGGTTCGTGAGCTGGCGGTGGCGTGCCCTCCTAGTAAAACACTCTCCCGCGCGCCTTCTCAGCTCGGCCGGAGAAGCAGGGGGGGGGGGGAGGTGGAGGGGGGGAAGGAGGGGGGGGCGGAGGAGGCGGACGCCCCCGGCTCGGCCGGCCCGCCCGCCTGTTCGGCTCGGCCAGAGAGAAGGAGGAGGAGGAGGAGGAGGAGGAGGAGGAGGAGGAGGAGGAGGAGGAGGAGGAGGAGGAGGAGGAGGAGGAGGTGAGAGTTGCGAGGATGTCTCAGGCGAAAGTGGCTTGACGGCCCGAGCTCAGGGAATCTCGGAATCGCTGGCCTGGCTCGGCCACTGGCGAGCTCGGCCTGTGCGAATACTGTGCGTACCTGTGCGGGGCATGTGCGGGACGTGCAACAATGCCGGGGCCGGCGTTCGTCTCCAGGCGCCGGCGCGTTCGCGTCCGGCAGGTTCCGCGTGAGACGTCGTCGGCAATTTGGAGGCCGACATGCTTTGACATGAGGTGATCTGGCCACCTTCGCCTGAGACATCCTCGCAACTCTGGTCTCGGAGATGCCCTGCCCCATGGTGGCCCAGCCACATTCGCTTGAGACATCCTCGGAACTCTGGGTTTCGAGACGCCCTGAGCTGAGGTGGTTAGACCACTTTCGCTTGAGACATCTTCGCAACTCTGACCTCAGAGATCTCCTGCCCCATGCTGGTCAGTCCACTGTCGCCTGAGACATCCTCGCAAGTCTCGATTCCGATATGCCCCGAGCTGAGGTGGTCAGCCACTGTCGCCTGAGACATCCTCGCAACCCTGATCTCAATGATGCCCTGCTCGATAGTGTCTCGGCCCCTTTCGCTTGAGACATCCTCGGAACTCTGGGTTCCGAGACGCCCTGAGCTGAGGTGGTTCGACCACTTTCGCTTTAGACATCCTCGCCCGAGATGCCCTGAGTTGAGGTGTTCAGTCCACTGTCGCCTGAGACATCCTCGCAACTCTGACCTCAATGATGCCCTGCTCCATACTGTGTCGGCCTTTTTCGCCTCAGACCCTCGCAACTCTGGGTTCCGAGATGCCCTGAGCAGGTGGTCGGGCCACTCCTGCCTGAGACGTCCTCGCAACTCTGGGTTCCGAGACGCCCTGGGCTGAGGTGGTCAGACCACTCTCGCCAGAGACATCCTCGCAACTCTGACCTCAGAGATCTCTTTCGCCTGAGACATCCTCACAACTCAGACCTCGGAGGTGTCCTGCCCCATGGTCGTCTGGTCACCTTGACCAGCGACATCCTCGCCACTCTGGTTTCCAAAATGCCCTGCCCCATGGTGGTCCGGCCACGCTTGCCTGAGACATCCTCGCAACTCTGGGTTGCGAAATGCCCCGAGCTCAGGTGGTCAGGCCACTATCGCCTGCGACATCTCTTTGGCATGTGCGGGCATGTGCGTCTATGCTTTCAGAGTTTTGCTTGACCGTGCATTCGACTGTGCGTCGGACGGTGTGACATGTGCGCGCATGTGCGGCAATGCTGTTGAGGCTTTTGTACATGTGCATGGGCATGTGCATGTGACTGTGCGGCATGTGCCTGCATGTGCGGCCCCTTCCGGACCACAATTTCAAAGTGAGCACTATAGAAGTGAGCGCTATAGAAGTGAGTCCGGTGTAACCAATGTGTATGTTTCAGTTGATGTGCCCCCAATCGGGGTTTGCATTTTGTTTTTTCGGTGCAATGCTCGGTGTCGCCAAGCTGCGTCGTTAGGCCCCGAATTACAACAACAACGGTTCCTGCTTGATACCCCCTCACAATGTATTCCCAAATCGCGCTCTCGCGCGGGACTTCCTTGCAAGTTTAGCAGGAATCGCGTTGTCGCTCTTGATACTCAGGAGTCACGCTTTCGCGCCGGCCTTTCTAACGATGTACTTGGGAATCGCACTACCGCTGGAGTTTTCCTCGCGATTCACACCGTACCCACGCTTTAGCAACACGTTTTTTCCATCTGGCCGCTTGGGCCCACCTTCCCGAGCTGCCCGTTAGGGTCTACCCGCCCGATGGGTCCGTTTGGTTCTGCCACGTGTTTTTTGCTCCTAGCCCCCATCCTGCTCATCCCGTACTCCATCCTTCTCCTTCCTCCTTCCATCCGTCCCCTCTTCTTTTGTTTCAGGAGCTGCGCCGATTATGCGTGGCAGGTAAAGAAGGCATACCCCCAGGGGGGTACGATCGAAAACGAATGGGGCGGATACCGAGGGCTTGGGATATACGTGTTGAATGGCACGCGAGCAGGTAAGAACGAACAGTCTTAAGACGATTGCTGTTGTTTTCGAACCTGCACTCCTGAATCATATCATGACTGTTGTTGAGCTTTTACTCTTGCACCCTCCACCGGTGCACATTTCATTTATTCAATTGTTCAATTGAGGCGGCCCCTTCGAGGCTCGCACCGTATGTTTGATCATGGACACTCTTCTTGTTCAAACTGGGCCCCTGGTCCCCCGGCTACAACAACAACGGTTCCCGCCTGATGCATTCTCACCATTTGTTCCCAAATCGCGCTCTCGCGCGGGACTTCCTCACAACTTCTACAGGAGTCGCACTGTCGCGTGGGACTTTCGCGCAATTTACTCAAGCGCTGCCCCCTCGACACTCAGGAATCACGCTCTCGCTTTGGCCTGCCTCACGATTTATTTGGGAATCGCGCTATCGCTGGAGTTTTCCTTGCGATTCATGCAGGACTCACGCTTCAGCAACCCGCCTCCTCGACCTGGCCACCTGGCCCCGCCTTCCCGACACGCCCGCTTGGGTCTGCCCGCCCGATCTGTCCGTCTGGTTATGCCGCGTGTTTTTTGCTCCTAGCCCCCATCCTGCTAATCCCGTGTTCCATCCTTATCCTTCCCCCTTCCATCCGTCCTCTCTTCCCATGTTCTAGGACTGCGCTAGATTCACGTGGCAGGTAAGGAAGATACACCCACAAGGTGGTTACGATCGAAGACGAAGAGGGCGGGTACCGAGGGTCTGGGATACGTATACGTGTTGAATGGCACGCGAGCAGATCGGAACGAACAGTCTTCAAATAATTGTTGTTGCTGTTGTTGTTGTTGTTGAATTCTCATATCTACAGAATAGTTATTGTTGTTCCCCCCTTCGCTGATCATTCTATGTTTCAATGTAAGAGTTTCTCCTGGGGCTCGCACCCTGTTTTCTACAAGGGAAAGTGAGTGTCACAAAATTGCGCCCTTGGCCCCCGGTTTACAACAACAACAACGGCTCCTGCCTGATATTTCATCACGTCTATTCCCAAATCGCGCTCTAGCGCGGGTTTTCCTCACAACTTATACAGGAATCGCGCTCTCGCGTGGGACTTCCTCGCATTTTTTTCAGACGCCGCGCCCTCGACACACAGGAATCACGATCTCGCTTTGGCCTTCCTCACGATTTATTTGGGAATCGCGCTATCGCTCAACCCTTCTCGCCGCGATTTATGCAGGACGCACGCTTCAGCAACCCACCTGCCCATGCTCCTTCCTTCCATCCGTCCTCTCTTCCCCTGCCTTTAGGGGCTCCACGAAATACCCATTGCAGGTTAGAAAGTATACCCCTAAGGGAGTACGATCGAAGACGAAGAGGGCGGGTATCCAGGGTTTCGGATGTACGTGTTGAATGGCACGCGAGCAGACAAGAGCGAACAGTCTTAAAGTGATTGTCGTTGTTGCCGCGGGATGGCATGCTGTAGTAGAGGTGTCTTGGACTGAATCTTCTCCTCACACTCTCTCCCCTCCTCCCAACGAGCGAGGGGGAGCGCCGCACCTACGACACATGCATTCCATCACTGCCATGTACACTTTGAAACGCTTGATTGTCACTCGGGAGATCCTTTTCACAAGCGCTCACGGGATTTCAAGCGCAAGCCAGAAGAGTCTTGGCTATGTCGGAGTATGGTTTCTGGGTTGCTTTGTACTAATGGCGTACTTTCTCCTCAATGCGATCCGACCTGGACCTACGCCTGATGTTCGGCAGATGGGCGTCAATACAGGAGAATGAGAGAACGGGAGACGTCGGCCGCGTGGGAGGAGAAGAGGAGGAGGAGGAGGAGGAGGAGCAGGAGCAGGAGTAGGAGCAGGATCATCATCATCATCATCATCATCATCATCATCATCATCATCATCATCATCATCATCATCATAATCATAATCATAATCATAATCATCATCATCATCATCACCATCACCATCACCATCACCATCACCACCACCACCACCACCACCACCACCACCACCACCACCACCATCACCATCACCATCATCATTACCATCACCATCACCATCACCATTACCACCATCACCATTAGGATATTGATGCCGCCCGAGGCAGTTGTGCAGGTGTTCGAGGGCACCAGCAACATCGACAACAAGGCCGACCCGTGAGCCTCCTTACCTGCTGCCCACCCGTACCTCCAATCCCTGTTCTGGTTCAAGTCCCACCCCCGTGTCTTCCGCCTCCTCTCTGCCGCTCGCCGCCTGCCTCCCACGTCCAGGACGCACGGCCCGAGACAGGGCGACGGAAGTGGAGTAGTAGGAGGAGGAGGAGGAGGAGGAGGAGGAGGAGGAGGAGTTGAACGAGTTGGGGTGGGTACGCGCAATAGTCGACCCTCTTCTTTGGCGCGCATCTGGGGAGCTCGGCTACTTCGGTTCAGCTGTGCGACAGCATGTTTTCGCTGCCCCCCCTGCACGACGGCATTTTTGTTCGAGATTGTCGAACATGCCAGTCCATTAGACTTCATACGTTAGTTCGTTTCGAATGGTGGTGGGGGGGGGTCTTGCTATCTGCTGGGCTTCGGGCCATCACGATGCCGCGCTCGGGTCGTGGTAGAAGAGAGGTCTTCCGGGAGGCCTTTTTGGGGCCTCTTGGAAGCGTCGCGGGGGCCTCCTGCAGGTCTGTCGTGGCCTTGTGGGCCCGTGTTAGGGGCCTCGGTAGGCTTTTCGGGAGCCTGCTCGCTGTCTCGGAGGCCATCTTTGGAGGAAGGGCTGGACCTAAGCAGTGTTTTGGTGATTTCGGGGGCCGTTTTCGTTTCGATCTCGTTTTGCGGTGGGGGTGGATGGAAGCCAAAACGAGTGGAAAACGGCAACAAAACGAGAACGAAAAACACCGCTTAGGTTCCGCCCTGCTTTGGAGGAAGGGCTTTTTCCCTTTGGGGCCCTATTGCGGTCGCCGTGTGGCTCTCTCGGCCCCCCTCGGGCCGCCCTCCGAGCGACTAATGGGCCAGGGCCTGTTTTCCACCACCACCACCACCATAAGTTGGAGGGGGGAAGGAGGAGGAAGAGGAGGAGGAGGAGGAGGATGAAGTGGAGGAGGAGGAGAAGAAGGAGGAGGAGGCGGAGGAGGAGGACCCCTTCTCCCTCCAACTTACGGTGGTGGTGGTGGAAAACAGGCCCATCATAATGGGCCAGGGCCGCCATTGACGCTTATCGGGAGCCCATGCAGACGCCAGCCAGGTGCCCGAGGCCCGCGAAGTGCGCTGCGAATCCCAGGGCACATCCTTGTCAAATAACGCTGACATGATCGCGGGGCGTCCGCGAGTCGCGGATGATCCAACATTTTGCCGCAACATGTGTTTTGAAGTGGCTTCTGACATGGATGATGGGCCTACACACTTGGAGCAATGTGCTACCCACCCCCCTCGCCACTATCAAAACAGTGTAAGGTGATCGAAGGGCGCCCGAACATGGTCCAGGTTTTGCCAGAAAGTGCATGTTGCACTGTTCCTTGACAGGGATGGTTGTGGGTGGGGCGCGTTGGCCCTGGTTTGGGGCCGGCCGGGTGGGGGAGGGGGTGTGTATTAATGAAGAGCACTTATCAACCTTCCCTACCCGAAAGGGGATGCAGGAGAGTGTTCCTTACTGCTTGGGGCATGAGGGGCGTCATGGCCCCCGCCCCCCCCCCTTTGACCTGATGCTCTCCCTCCCCCCAGCGCGCTCCGGACACTGCCGCCGTGCGCACCGGGATCCGCATTGGTGTCCACATAGGAATCCGCATAAGAGTCTGGTCCGCAGTCGTCGTCGTCGTACTCGTACTCGTACTCGTACTCGCACTCGTACTCGTACTCGTCGGTCGTCGCTCGTCGCTCGTCGCTCGTCGCTCATCGATGATCATCGTCGTCGTGGGCCCGGACGCGGCTGGAACCATTTTTTTATTTTATTACTATTATTATTATTATTATTCCGGGCCGACGGCAATCATTTGTGGGGGGAGAGGGCCAATGACGTCACGTTTCGCGCCGGCGGCGACGGAATGCCTAGGAATGACCGAGACGGGTAGCAGCAGCATGTAGGTGGCGATCTGCACCACAGCGCTTGTGTACACCACAGTGCCTGCGTGCACCACAGCGCCTGTGTACACCACAGCATCTACGTACACCACAGCAGCCGCGTGCAACACAGTGCCAGTGTGTGCCACAGTGCCTGCGGGCACCACAGCGCTTGAGACACGCCGTGCTCGCATGAATTCCAAGCATGTGCAGCATGCAAGGCGCCTGCGCGTGCACAGCGGAGACATTGCGGGTTGTTTTGCGAATTGAACAACATCGCCGTGCCAGTTTGGAGAATTCAGGTGGGAGCCTACCGTGTGTCACTTGGGTGTTCAATTCAAACGTGTCGTTTTTGCACGCGCCACTCGTAGTCCATGTGGCAATCCGACGTGCGCGCAAGCGGGTGCGGCATTGTGACTCCGCAGCGCGCAGTTGATGAAGTCGCTGGGCCAATCTGAGAATCGTGGAAGGAGTCATCTCGCGCAAGTACTTTGTTAACCCGGCGGTTGTCGCGCAGCCCCAGGGCTACAACATCTCGTGGTGGTTTGCGAAGTGATGCCTTTGCATGTTTAAACGGTGTCCGCATTTTTATTCGATTTGCAGTTGCGATTGGGTTCGCGCTTGCAGAGAATAATGACCGAACGCCCATACCACATCACCATACAACGCCTGCCCCTTGAAGCGACGGGGACTTTGAGCCCTCCCTCAAAGCCACCCGGCCCCTGCCTTATTGCCTTATCTGGCCGTAGGCCCTGGCGGCATCTCCCCCGGCGGGCAACGAGCCGCCCCTGCTCCAAGTCGACCCACGTCTTCAACCATCCCCCACTGCCCTCCTGCTCGCCCCCCACCCACCCCAGGGATCGACCACAATGCTGTATGGGGCAACCGTGTGGGCAGTTGTTTGTTTATTCGCGCTCCCAGGGCCACTGGGGGCCGATCTCGATTCCAGAGGTGCACCAGCACCCTATTTCGGGGAACGTCTTAGTCTGCGTAAATTTCAGAACGAAGGTGGAGGCAAACGCCAGAGCATGTGTTTTGTCGACCTATGGTCGCCCCCACTCACCCCATATTCCTTTTTATCAATTGCATGTCCCCCCAAAGCGGGGCGTCGGGGCGAGGCTTTGGTAGGAGGCAGGGGGCGGCGGAGGCACGCGTTTTCGATCATGGTGTCGCCGTGGTTGGCGCCGTCCCTGCGACATCTCGTGTTCAATATCGTTCAATTTCTGTTCATCTCTCGTCTTCTCCTCCACCTTTTTTTTGTCCTGTTCCTCCTGCTCCTACGCCATCCTGCTCCTGCCGTTCCTGATCCGCCCCCCATGGCTGGCTCCTGCCCAGAATTGCCACATCGAGTTCACGGGTGACACCCTCAAGATGCCGATCTCGGATGATCTCTTGGCGGGGCTCTGGCTCTTCTCACGTTCTCTGTCCAAGTCAAGCTTGGTCGTCGTGTCGGTAGAGGAGGAGCAAGAAACCAAGGCTGGAATGTATACTTGTTCACCGGCTAGAGGGCCGATGGCCCAGGACCACAGAAGGCAGTGGGTGTGGATATCCTTGGTCTCCCCCGGGGGCCGAAAGTATCCACACCCGCTGCGCTTCGGGGTCCTGGTGCGTCGGCTTCCGAGGCGGTGCATCTGTCTGAGCTCCAGCGCCGGAGGCAGGACGGCAGAGAACGCCGATGGCGACGAGGAGAGCGCGGCAGGTGAGGTTTGAACAGGTAGGGTCGGACGCGTCCGTTGTACCCCCCCTCGTCGTGTCGCCCGGGCACGCCACACGGGGAGGGCGGGGCCGTCGAAGCTAGAAGGAGGAAGAGGAGGATGAGGAGGACGAGGAGGACGAGGAGGAGGTAAGAGGGACATTTCGGGCAAGGACGGCAAAAACGTAGGAGGACGACGGGGAGAAGCATGATGCTGAGCATTTGCAGCCTTCCCGCGTGATCAGGGCTTGTCCTTACTGGGGGAGTCCCAGAATCCACGTGCGAATTTCAGCAGCGTGGCCAGCAGGAGCAGGAGAACGATGACATGTTCAGAACTTATGATGGATAGGACAAGGATGAGCAGATGCAGGGGGATGAGGAAAGCTATCACACAGGAGTCGAGGATGCAGGGCGACGAGGAACGCGAGGATGAGGAGAAGGAGGCCACAGGCATGAGGCCGATGCTCGATTGTCAAAAGATGCTGCGGGTAGGGCCGCGCATTCAACGGCTCCGGGAAGCCCATCGACAAAGGCCCAGCAGTGTTGGCGGAGGACTTCGCGTTTGTTATACGTTCTGCTTCTGTTACTGCTATGTTCTCCTCTTCCCCCACGTACACGACTTCTTCCTCCACCCTCCTTCTCCAGCCCAATCCCCCTCTTTCCCACATCTTCCCTACCCCTCGCTCCTCATTCGCATCCTTCTCTTGTTGTACGTCTGTGTCCTCAGCGCCAGTACTGGCACTGCTGGGTTTCTCGATAATCCACCGCCTCCTCCCTTCAGCTTCTTGTCACAACTGCTCATTGTTTGGCCTCGGGGCCGCCGTGTAAGGGCAGCGCTATATATTCGTTCTACCAATCAACTGCATGATTTAGAGCCCCAGAGCGGTACGAGCCCATGTCCATGCTCCATGCGCGCTTCAATGAGTGTGTCTACGGACCCCATGAGTGGAAGCAGATACCATACATATCGGAGCGGGGGCTGTAATTAAGTGAATATCATTTCCGGCCAGGAAAGTCCCGGCATGTCACCGCCCCCCACCCGCGGCCCGTAGGTATACGCCTGCGGCCTCCCCTGATGGCCAAGCAACCCCGAAGATAGCGGCCCGAGGCCTACATCGGGCCCCCAAGACGGCAAAAGGCACTTCCCAGACGGCTTCAGAAAGGCCCGAGACGGCCCCAAGACGGCCCCGGAGCGCTCGAACGGATGATGTAAAGGTGATGTTGCTATAGATTATGGTGAACACGTGGACGAGATGAGAGGTTCAAAGGGGTTTTTCGACCCCTTCACCCCGAGATGGCCCCTAAGAGCACCCCAGAGGCCTCTGCCGAGCCCCTAAGAGGACCAGGGTCTCAAGAAGCCCCACAGACTTGAAGAGGCCCTGGGAGACTTTGAGGAGATCCCAATATGCACCCAGCAAGCCTCTGGTCCACAACCCAGACGGGGAGGATCTCATAATGTAGTGATGTAATGTTCTTGATGTTGAGATGATGGCCAGGCGGGGAAATCAGCAGGGACGATGAGGAGGACGAGTAGGGAACCAGAGGAGACGAAATATTAGGGTGATGCAGCGATGGAGTGATGTTGGCGATGACGATGGCAAGACGAAGAAAGAACTGGAACGATGAGGGCGAGGGAATTTGAGGAGACGAAGGATTATGATGATGACGATGAAAACGATGATGACGATCATGACGATGATGACGATGATGCTGATACTTATGCTGATGCTGGTGCTGATGATGCTGATGATGATGTTGATGATGATGATGATGATGATGATGATGCTGATGATGATGATGATGATGATGATGATGATGATGATGATGGTGATGGTGATGGTGATGGTGATGGTGATGGTGATGGTGATGATGATGATGATGATGATGATGATGATGATGATGATTCTAGGCCTCCTAGATGGGGTCGGAGTAGTTGGGGTCGGAGGATCGCGCCGCATCGGCGATGCGGCACGATGCGGAGCCTGATTTTCTTCACGCCGGCGTCGCCGATGCATCGTCCACGTCGACACTGCATCGCTGGCGCATCGCCGATGCATCGCCGATGTATCGGTGATGTGGCGCGACCCTCCGACCCCAGCTACTCCGACCCCATCTAGGAGGCCTCTAAGTATGGTGGGGATGATGCTAATGATGATGATGATGATGATGATGATGATGATGATGATGATGATGATGATGATGATGATGATGATGATGGTGGTGGTGGTGATGATGATGCTGGTGATGGTGATGGTGATGGTGATGGTGATGGTGGTAGTGGCGATGATGATGATGATGATGATGATGACGACGACGACGATCACGACGACGACGACGACGACGATGATGATGATGATGATGATGATGATGATGATGCTGATGATGATGATGATGATGATGCTGCTGCTGCTGCTGATGATGATGATGATGATGATGGTGATGGTGGTGGTGATGGTGGTGGTGGTGGTGATGGTGATGGTGATGATGATGATGATGAGGAGGAGAAGGAGGAGGAGGGTAAGGATGGCAATGACGAGGATGGGGATGGGGATCAGGGGGGGAAGGAGGAAGAGGAGAAGGATGAGGATGACGACAAACAGCAGCAGCAAGACGACGAGAAAACAGGCGGCTTGCACTCCTGCTTCCTGCTATGTCCCTCCTTCTCCCGGCGCCCCCTTACTGCTCTGGTTGCCATTGTGCGTCCTCATTCCTCAAGGCTTCTCATTCTCAGTGAATCCTCTGTAAACCCTCGATTCTCCTGCACGTATTTCCACCCCGATGGTTTCACCACAAATTCTGCGCTTGCGCCGAACTAGAAGCTAAGCGCGCGCGTGGTTCTCGTACATATTCTTATGTATATACTATAGGGTCGGGGACCCTGGACAGGGCCCTCCCCCTCCCCCACAGGGCCCCCCGCCCCCCGAGGGAATTTCGGATCCCCCGGGCGCTCGGAAGCCCCACTGGGCTGCTCGGACGCCCTTGCAAAGGGTTCCTTTGGCCTTCCGGCCTGCTCGGAGGGTCCAACGAGGCGTCCAATATTGCCTGATCTAACTCGTCAACAGCTCCAAAGCACACCATGACGCTCCAGAGGCGTCTAAAACGCACCCACACGTCCACAACGCCTCTGTATTGAGCCCACACCTTCAAATCGGTCATTTCCCGTCGGTTTTTGAAGGACTTCGGCGTCCTCGCCTTTGGCGCTGCCACGCTCCAAGACGGCCGAAGAACTGCCAAACACCGCCCCAAGAGCAGCTCAAAACGACCCAGGCGAAGACGGCCCATGATCGCACCCTCAAGGCTCCCAAAACGACCCACGAGGGCCTCTAGTCGGCCCAAGAGAACGCCAAAACGGCTCCCAACACGACTACAACGGGCCAAGACAGTCTCAAGAAGGCTCCCAAAAGGCCCAGGAAAGGGAACACGAAATCACATTTCGAACCTACCGCCTCAAAATCACCCCAGGATCTTCCCAGGGGCTCCCCCTGCGCCTCCGCGAAGCTCCAAGAGGCCCTGCTGGTTGCCTCTTGGGTCCTCTTGGGAGTGCTCTTGGAGGCCCCTTGGGACGTCTTGGAGGCCCTTTGGGCCGCCTGGAGGCCATCTTGGGCGTCTTGGAGCGATTATCGGGCGTCTCGGACTCCTCTTGGACCATATTGGGGGCCTCTTGGGGCCCTCTGAAACGATCCCGAGAGCCTTGAAGACGGGCCCCAGGAGTCCCGGCATCCTTGAGTAGCAGTGCCCAGGTTTGTTTGTTGGATTGGGCTCCCAGGGGCCGCCATGCGCGCGCGAACTAGAAGCTTTCTAAACTTGTTACTGGAGCTCTCAGCACGGCCCGTTGGGCCGGCGAGTGTGTCGTTACTCCCCGCGCGCGCAGGCGCGTGCACTCGTATGTGTACATGCATACATGCATGCATGTGTGTACTCGTAGACACATACAAGTCGGCATGATACATAGTTACGCGCACCCATATGTCGACGCCATATGTACCATAACATGCATATGTACATATATATAGATATGTGTGTGTGATAACACTATAGAGGGAGGGATCTGTGTATGTATATGTGCAACGTGCATGCACGTGCACGTGTACACATGCATGCGCATATGCATGCGCGAATGTACACGCGCACGCACGCCGCTTGCGCGCGAAACTCTAAAGACCAACGTGCATGGCGCGAAGCGCCAGTGCAATCTTGCATGTATATGTATATATACACACATCTGTCTGTCTGTCTCTCTCTCTCTCTCCCTCTCTCTCTCGCTCTTCCCGTCCTGCTACGTTGCCTTTGCCACGTTGTATCTTCTCATGGGGAAGCACAGTGCAAGCACGGCCTCTGGGAACCACACTGAGGAGGTACGGATTCAGACCGATCATGCCCCGAATTCTGGAGTGTTCGACCCGACTATGATAGTCTGATGTCGTTATCCTGCATGTTGCTACTCCCTCGCGGCATGAGGACTTCCTGGACATCAATGGCGCGCCTCTCAACCCCAAGTCGCGCGTGTACCCCAAGGAGATGATCCAGACTGGCATCAGCGCCATCGACACGATGAATTCCGTGGTCCGTGGGCAGAAGCTGCCACTGTTTTCCGCGGCCGGCCTGCCACACAACGAGATCGCGGCACAGGTGTGCCGGCAGGCCTCCCTGGTCAAGGGCAAGGACGTGAGCGACCATTCCAAGGAGACTGTTCGTTTCCCTTTGGTGCGTCACGGTCGCTACCCAGGCCAAACTTTTTCCCCCCTGGCGACAGTAACGATCGTACGAGCGTGTTTCTTTATTGCTTGGGGCATAATATGCATTATAAGCCCCCAGACCCCCCTCCCCCCCTATAACGTAACGCCACTCCTCCCCAGTGTGCTCCGGGCACTGCCGCCGTGCACATCGGGCACACGGCGGGGGGGGGAGGCGTTACATTATACTCCCCCCCTGGCCCCTCCCGCCCCCTCCATGTAATGCCCATTATCGCCGAAAATAAAGAAACGCTCTCTACGTTTTGGGGAGGGGGCCTGGACCCCACCCACATGCTGGTGCTCGCGCGCAGACCGTGGCCATCGCAGGGCACTCCCGCCCCGACGTGCCCCATCCTGTCAAAGCGTGACCGTTACCCGGCCCCCCCCGTGCGACGACCGTTACCGAAAACAATAAGAAGCACGCAAGAGCAAGGAGAACTTCAGCATCGTCTTCGGCGCCATGGGCGTGAACAGGGAGACCGCCACCTTCTTCAAGCGCGACTTCGAGGAGACGTCGTGCTGCTCTTCCTCGTCCTCCCCCCGCCTTTGCGTCTTGCTTCTCTTCCTCGGCCCCCCTCCCCATTCCGCCGAGCACATCCAACCCTTGCAGCCTCCCTTCCCCGCCGTCTCCCCCTCGGCCCCGACTTCCCCCCCCCCCGCCCGAGGATGCCAGGGCACGCTCTCTCTCTCTCTCTCTCTCTCTGCCTCCCCTCCTTCGCTGCAGGAGAACGGCTCCATGGAGAACGTCGTGCTGTTCATGAACCTGGCGAACGACCCCACCATCGAGCGCATCGTGACGCCCCGGTCCAGGGGGGGGGGCGGGGGGCCCAGGGCGCGCGAGGGCTCCAGGCCTGCCCATGCCCTTACACTCCTCCTTCCCTCCTCCTCCTCCTCCTCATACTCCTCCTCCTCCTCGTCCTCCTCCTCCTCCTATTCCTCCTCCTGTCCTCCTCCTCCTCCTCCTCCTCCTCCTCCTCCTCCTCCTCCTCCTCCTCCTTCACCTCCTCCCCCTCCCCCTCCTTCTCCTCCTCATCCTCCTCCCCTCCTCCTTCTATTCCTCCTCCTCCTCCTCCTTTCTCTCCTCCTCCTCCTCCTCCTCCTCCTCCTTTCCCTCCTCCTCCTCCTCCTCGTCCTCCTCCTATTCCCTCCTCCTCCTCCTCCTCCTCCTCCCTCCTCCTCCTCCTCCTCCGCCTCCTCCTCCTCCTTTCTCCTCTCGGAGTTTGATCGACCTCCTACCCTGACACGCCGATTAGCGAATCAGCCGTTTTCGGTTCGCGAGAGGGCATAGCGGCCGTCATCTTTGCGGGTCCAGGTCCGTCGGTTTCGGTCCTGGGCCGTTTGCTGCAAAGGGAGGTCATACTACTAAAGGGAGGTTTGTTCACCGCCGACTCTCTCGCCTCCTTCCTCCCCTCCCCTCCTGCTGCTGCCCCTCCTGCTTTCAGGAGGGGAAAGAACACACAGACACAATTAATCGGCGATTCCCAGAAAATATAGGAATATATGGGAAGTGGGGGGGAAGACAAAAACCCAGAAAATATGTGAAAATATGGGGAATAATTTTATTTGTGTGTATTTATTTGTGTGTCCCAGTTCCCCTTCATGCTTCACGGCGCCACCGCTCCGCCCTGACAGCCAGCTCGCCGACTGCGTCGGCCTCTCTGCACAGCAGCACCGGGCGGGTCGACGGAGCCGGTCGGCGGCGGGCCGCGGGTTTTTCGGACGCCGCTGGGAAGAAGCCCGCCACGGGTGCCGATGTTTGACACGTCGTCTCAGCGGCTTTTTGCAGATGCGGGCTGTGTACACCTTAGGCGTTGCTTAAGAAAACTTAAGTTTTCGGCCAGAGTCTCAATTATTCTTAATGTTTCAATGTTAACCCTAAGATTTTAATCGAAATATTGGGTTTTAATTCAAGTTCTGAGACTATGAATTTCTTAACCCATGATTTCTTAAGCATTTCGCAGGGTGTACAGTGGTCTGCAGCGATTGTGCAGAACGGGCGGAGCAGGCCAGCACCACCAGCCAAGACATTTTGGTCGGCGTGTAAGCGGCCGGATGCGGAGGAAGAACAGCACACGGGGCGGCGGCGGGCGAGGGGGGGGGGGAAGTGAGCAGGAGAAGGCCTTCTCAGAAGGTGGCCGGACTTCTCGGGGGCCCTCGCGCCTTCTGAGAAGTTTTCTGTGTCTTCGGGGAGTGCTTGGAAAACTTCGCACAAGGCTGGGGGAGTTCGAGCCTTCTGAGAAGGCCCGACTCTTCTCTCTTCTCCCCGGGCTCGCCGCCGAACGGGGACAGAGTAGGTGAGAGGAAGATGTGGATAACTGAGATCAGTGAGGACCCAGTCAGGAGTGAACGATGTAGTGAGCAGTGTGGTGCATATTCATACGAATGGTAGGTTGAGAGTGAAGCGTGGCGAGCGAGGGCTGAATATTCGGGAGTGCAGGGAGGATCGGTGGGAGTGTGGAGGGGTGGACAGGAAGGAGGGGTACGATGAGGAGGAGACGAGAGAGGGAGTTGTCGGGAAAAGCATGGGAGTGGCATGATGGTGGTGGGGGTGATGGTGATGCTGATGATGATGGTGATGGGGTGACAGTAGTGATGATGGTGATCAAAAGGGAACTGCATGGCGGGGCTCGGCGCACTCCGGCTGGGGCGGCGAAGGCTTGCCCTCACCACGGCCGAGTACTTCGCGTACACGTGCCTCCGCCCGCCAGCCTCACGCCGTATTCTTGCCCATCGGGGGCTCTGGGGGAGCGGAAGCGAGCAGCGTGCGTGAGCGGGGGATTCCAGGGAGCGAGATTGAGGGTGAGAGAGAGGGGAAGAGAGAGAGAGAGAGAGAGATGATTGGAACGAGCGTGTGTGTGTGTGTATGTGTGTATGTGTGTGTGTGTGTGTGTGTGTGTGTGTGTGTGTGTGTGTGTGTGTGTGTGCGATTTGCGAGGTTGAGAGAGCGATGCATCTACACGTATCAATGTATGTGTAGTATCATAAATACACACATACATATGTGTATCTATGAATAGATATACATATATACACAGATATATACATATATGTATATATTTACGTCGTCTCGTTAGAGAGATGCTTGGCATTTCAATGCCATTTCAGCTGTCCAGTTCTCCTCTTCCTCCTCGTTTCGCCTCCCTCTCTCTCTCTCTCTCTCTCCCCCCTACACCCCAGGCTGGGGCTCTTGCGGAGAGAGAAGCAGTTTATACAAGCCATCTCACGCAGGACAGTTTGTCTATCTGGCTGGGCGCTCCAGCTCCATTCGTGCGCACGGCATTTGAGGTAGCCGAGTGACTTGACTATTACGTCGCTGAGCCTGTCATCGTGATGCTGTGTCCGCTCCCCCCCTTCCCCAATTGCGCAGAATATGCATGTGCATGTGTGTATGTGCATACTACACATAGATATATGTATAAGTGTATGTATACATAAAGCACTTTCACCCATTTATATACACATTTATAACGGGGGGCAAGAGAGAGAGAGAGAGGAAACCAAAGAAACATAAAGAGGGAGGGACGGAGGAGGAGGAGGAGGGAGGGAGATTTCGAGAGAGTCGGAGAGGGCGAGAGCAGCCTCCTTCGATCCGTTCCTGGCATGAGCTTTGGTGGAATTTCTGGATTGCCCCGTCCGTAGCCTGATGACGGTGACTTCCTTTTTCGCTGCGACGTTGGATCAAGCATGTGTCCGAGAGGGACTGATATGTAATTCCATTCACCCATTTCCCAACCCTCCTGTGGTGTTCGGTACTCGTTTTGAATAGAGCAGTGCAGTCTCCACCTCCTCCTTCTCTCCTCCTCCTCTCCTCCTTCTCTCCTGTTTCCTGTGTTCCCTTCTCCTCTTCTCTCGTGCCGTCTGCGATCTGCGCAATTGTCGCCACTTTCGTGGGCTCCTGGGAGGCCCAGCGGAGGTACGTCCCGCGCGGACCACCTCGGGACCTCGCCGCCCCCTGGGGGACTTGCGATCTGAGCAATTGTCGCCACTTTCGTGGGCTCCTGGAAGGCCCAGCGGAGGTACGTCCCACGCGGATCACCTCGGTACCTCGCCGCTCCTTGGGGGGGCTTGCGATCTGAGCAATTGTCGCCACTTTCGTGGGCTCCTGGGAGGCCCAGCAGAGGTACGTCCCACGCGGATCACATCGGGACCTCGCCGCACTTTGGGGGGCTTGCGATCTGCGCAATTGTCGCCACTTTCGTGGGCTCCTGGAAGGCCCAGCGGAGGTACGTCCCACGCGGATCACCTCGGTACCTCGCCGCTCCTTGGGGGGGCTTGCGATCTGAGCAATTGTCGCCACTTTCGTGGGCTCCTGGGAGGCCCAGCAGAGGTACGTCCCACGCGGATCACATCGGGACCTCGCCGCACTTTGGGGGGCTTGCGATCTGCGCAATTGTCGCCACTTTCGTGGGCTCCGGGGAGGCCCAGCGGATGTACGTCCCACGCGGACCACCTCGGTACTTCGCCGCTCCCTGGGGGGCGTGCGCTCTGCGCAATTGTCGCCACGTTCGTGGGCTCCTGGGAGGCCCAGCGGAGGTACGTCCCACGCGGATCACCTCGGCAACTCGCCGCCTTTTGGGGGGCTTGTGATCTGCGCAATTGTCGCCACTTCCGTGGGCTGCTGGGAGGCCCAGCAGATGTACGTCCCACGCGGATCACATCGGGACTTCGCCGCCTTTTTGGGGGCTTGCGATCTGCGCAATTGTCGCCGCTATCGTGGGCTCCTGGGAGGCCCAGCGGAGGTACGTCTCACGCGGATCACCTCGGTACCTCGCCGCCCTTTGCGGGGGCTTGGGCTCTGCGCAATTGTCGCCATTTTCGTGTGGTGCAGGGAGGCCCAGCAGAGGTACGTCCCACGCGGATCACCTCGGTAACTCGCCGCCCCTTGAGGGGCTTGCGATCTGCGCAAGTATCGCCACTTTCGTGGGCTCCTGGGAGTCCCAGCGGAGGTACGTCTCACGCGTATCACCTCGGCACCCTTTTTGGGTGGCTTTCGATCTGCGCAATTGTCGCCACTTTCGTGGGCTCCTGGGAGGCCCAGCCGAGGTGGGTCCCACGCGGATCACATCGGGACCTCGTCGCCCCCTGGGGGGCTTGCGCTCTGCGCAATTGTCGCCATGTTCGTGTGCTGCTGGGAGGCCCAGCGAAGGCGGGTCCCCCGCGGATCACCTCGGTATCTCGCCGCCCTTTGGGGGGCTTGCGATCTGCGCAATTGTCGCAATTTTCCTGGGCTCTTGTGAGGCCCAGCGGAGGTACGTCCCACGCGGACCACCTCGGTACTTCGCCGCCCCCTGGGGGGCTTGCGATCTGCGCAATTGTCGCCATTTTCGTGTGCTGCTGGGAGGCCCAGCGGAGGTACGTCCCACGCGGATCACCTCGGTACCTCGCTGCCCCCTGGGGGGGGGGGGGTTACGATCTGCGCAAGTGTCGCAATTTTCGTGGGCTCCTGGGAGGCCCAGTGGAGGTACGTCCCACGCGGTTCACCTCGGTACCTCGCCGCCCTTTGGGGGGCTTGCGATCTGCGCAATTGTCGCCATTTTCGTGGGCTCCTGAGAGGCCCAGCGGAGGTAACTCCCACGCGGTGACTGAGTGCTCCTGCTTATCCTCGAGGCCGCGACCTTTTGCTTCAACTTTTGGGTTCTTTTCTTCGGGTTCGCTGCCGCGCCCTTTTGCCTCCACTTTTGGGTGAGTCTCCGCCCCCGTTATGCACCTCATGCATTTGCCTCTTTCAGCGCAGCTCGTTGCTGAGTGAAACCGATGTTCTGGCTTAGCCCTCGCCGCCCCCCGCTTTTGTGTTTCTTTCGACGCCCTTGTGCTTCAATTTTGTATGTTTGCTGTTCCTCTTCTTGATGCTCTCTTCTGATTTCACTCCTGAGTGCTCTTCTTGCGCACTGCGGGTCCTTCAGAATGCCAGTCAGCATTGAGTGGTCCTGAATATAAACGCCACGTGTATTAAAAGAGTTGGCTACGTCGCAGGGTAATTCTCATAACGCGGAACCCTGCGAACCCCCTCCCCGAAACGTGACCCCCCCGATCTTTGGTCCCAGGGGCCTTCCTCACGCCCCTTGGCAAGGTCACCCAGAATTTTCGTGCCTTCGAGGATCCTTGTCAACCCGTGCAAGCGGGCCATTGGCAATGTTCAAAAATTTCCAACACGGACCCGAGACGTCACAGGAGCGTTCCAAGAGGGACCTAGATCGATGGCCGCAATATGGCCCAAGTGGCCCCCAAGACGGCCCAAAAGGGTTTCAAAAGGACCCCTCCAAAAACAAAGATCGGCCCTTTCCCTTTGTAACCGTACATGTTGGACACATACGCTTCGATCGTCATAGCAGCGCGCGCGGCGACCGTCCATAGGCCTCCGAGATCGCCCCAAGATGGCCCATAGAGGCCCTCAAGAACGCCCCAAGACTGCCCAAAAGGGCTCCAAGACTGCCCGAGAGTGCCCCCAGACGGCCCAAAATGACGCCCAAGAAGCCACCCAAAGGCCCCCAAGAAAGGCCCAAGAGAGGCATGGGAGGCTTCAAGAGGGCACAAGATGGTTCCAAGATAGCTTCCATAAGGCCCTTGCCCCCCCAGACGGCCCAAGAGGGCACCCGGACGGCAAAAGAGGGCGCCAAGACGGCCCAGGAATCCCCCAAAAGGACCCCCAAGAAGGCTTGGAGAGCCCATCCTCATTCACGGCCCAATAGGCCCCCAGAATCGCCCCCAAATTGCCGAATATGCTTCCAAGAAGGCCCCCCGACGGCCCAAGCCAGCTTTCTGACGGCCTGAGATGCTCCCACGACGACCCCCAAGCTCCCCGCCAGCATTTCAAATCGAGGCCTGGCCGTCCAAGTGGGCTGGCGGCGGTCCCCAGACAGCCCACAGGGCGCCAAATATTGCGCTGCGTTTTTTTTAGAAATGCCGCATTCTGTCCAGAATCTCAGGTTGGCAACAAATGTACTGGGAAATTTGTTGCGAACCTGGCAAATCATCAATTATCCACGAAATTCGCCTACCATCTCCATCATGTCGAGCATCCAAGGAAGATGTCGCGAAAGGCCACCGGGTGCGAAGCTCGAAGAACCAAGGTGCATGGCGCGAAGCGCCAATGCAGTCTTGTACGTATATATGCATAGCTGCCCGCGGCAAGTCCCGCCATCGTGCCGGGACAACATGTTGTGTGTTCGACCTTGTCGACAGGGCACGGGTGATTGTTATGTATGACATTTCGGCCCATTGGAAACTATGTGTGGGGCCTCTTGCAAGGTTCCTTGGGCTGTCTGTCAACGTGTTGTGACCCGTGTGCTTTGCTTATTTGGCGTCAGTGGCCTGTCCTGAGCTCTTGAGAAGCCGTCTTGGGATTCCCTTGGGACCCTCTTCGGCCGTCTTGAGGTTCTCTTGGGCTGTCTTGGGCTCTCTCGGGACCTTCGTGACCGTCTTGCGAGTCTCTTTGGGTTATCGTGGGGCCGTCTTGGGCCGTTCAGGGGTCCTCGAAGGCCGTCTTGGGTCCCTCCTAAGGGCTTTTCGGGTCAACTTGAAGCCCTCTTTAGACCGTCCTGGGCTGTCCAGGGGCCGTCTTGAGCTGCCTGAAGGCCGTCTTGGAGACCTCTTGGGCTATCTTGAGGTTCCCTTTGGCCGTCGTGGGCCATCTTCTTGGAGGCCTCTTGGGCAGTCTCGGACTGACGGAAGCTTGAAACGGCGAGGGTGTGAAACCATTCAATGATAGCCAGCGTGGACCCCAAACAGTAGGTTCTTGCAATCTATGCGGTGCGATATATATGTAGTGCAATGTATGCGGCTCAACCTATGTAATGTAATTCCTGCGATGCTATCTATGTGTTGCAATATTATATGCGATGATGCAACCTGTGTAATGCAATATATGCTGTGCAATCTATGTGGTGCAACGTATGCGATACAACCTATGTAATGCAGTCTGTGCGGTGCAATACATGTGGTGCAATCCACTTTGACTGCCTTGAAGCTGTCCTCCCCACTGCTCGTTCAAGCATCCCACCCTCCCGCCCGCAACTTGGTCGCAAGACCTCTTAAGACCGTGACTGTAGGTACCCAATGGCCCTTAGCAACGACACCGACACCGACGACGACAGCGACAACGACGACGACGACTACGACGACACCGACGACGACTCCGACGACTTCGACGACGACGACGACGACGACGCCGACGACGACGACGCCGACGACGCCGACGACGACGACGACGATGACGCCGACGACGACGACGCCGATGACGACGCTGACGACGATGACGACGACGACGACGCCGACGACGACGAAGATGACGACGACGACAACGACGACGGCGCCGACGACGACGATGACGACGCCGACGACGACGACGATGACGCCGACGACGACGACGGCGACGACGCCGACGACGACGACGCCGACGACGACGACGACGAAGACGACGACGACGACGACGACGTCGCCAACGAAGACGACGACGGCGAGGGAGGAGGGAGGACGACGACGGCGGCAACGACGACACCGACGAGGGAGGAGGGAGGACGGCGACGACGCGAACGACGGAGGACGGCGACGCCGACGACAACGACTGAGGAGGAGGGAAGACAACGACCACGACGACGACGACGACGACGACCACGGCGACGAAATAGGAGGGACGACGACAAGACGCCGACGACGGACGACGACGACGACGAGGAGGAAGGACGGCCACGGCGAACAACGACGGGAACGACGACGACGCCACAGAGGACGACGACGACGATAAAGAAAGACAGAGGACGACGACGGCGACGACGACGACGACGACGAGGGAGGAGGGAGGATGGCGACGACGACGACGAAACAAGAGCGCGCGCGCACGCTTTTGTTGAAAATTCGTGTTGCGAAACCTTGTGTTTTTGTATGTTGCTTCGGCACACGATTTTGAAATCCTTCCGAAACCGAGGGTTTGTGAAGGATTTCGGCATGCGCGCGCGACGACCCGCGCGTCTGCACTTCGTCCCATTGTTCGCAGAGGATTCTCGCGACCGCACGCGCGCAAGGGCGTTCGAAAGATTTCGACATGCGCGCGCGAAGTCCGTTTGGTCGTATTTTTTTTTTTTTTGAAAATGTTGAGAGTCCCATGGTTTCCGTAAGATTTCGCAAGAGCGTGCGCGTAAGTTGTGTTCGGCATTCAACGTTGCGAAACCATGTGTTGTATGTTTTGTGGGAACTCGATTCTGTAATCCTTCCGAAACCGAATATTCTTGAAGGATTTCGGCATGCGCGCGCGACGACGCGCGCGTGTGCACTTCGTCCCGTTTTTTATGCAAGGGATTTTTTGCAGCCTTATGATTTTTGATAAACGAGAGCGCGCGCATAGTATGTTTTGCAGATGATGGCGGGCGGGAGTGATACCTGCCTGGCTGGGATAGCATGAGTTCATATTTAGGATGGACGATGGAGCAGAATCATATGTAAATGGCAAGACGAAAAGGGGGTGCGTTAACTCCAGAGGGGGTATAGATTATTTTTTCAGAGAGGAGAACCAATCACTTACTCAACTTGACGCTGTCCTCTCCACTGCTCGTGCAAACATCCCACCCTCCCACCCGCAGCTTGGTCGCAATACCTCTTAAGACCGTGACGGTGGGTACCAAAAGGCACTTGGCAACGACACCGACGACGACAGCGACAACGACGACGACGCCGCCGACAACGACTACGACGACGCCGACGACGTCTCCAACGACTTCGGCGACGACGACGACGACAATGACGACGACGACGCGATGACAACGCCGAGGACGACGGTGCCGCCGACGACGACGACGACGTCGCCGACGACGACGACGACGACGACGCCTACGACGACGAAGACGACGACGACGTCGCCAACGAAGACGACGACGACGAGGGAGGAGGGAGGACGACGACGGCGACGACGACAGCGACGAGGGAGGAGGGAAGACGACGACGATGGCGACGAAATAGGAGAGACAACGACGAAACGCCGAGGAAGACGTCGAGGTTGCAAAGACGACCACGGCGACAACGACGACGGAAACGACGACGCCGAGACAACGACGACGAGGAAAGACAGAGGACGACGACGGCGACGACGACGACGAGGGAGGAGGGAGGACGGCGACGACGACGACGACGCAAGAGCGCGCGCGCACGCTTTTGTGAAAAAACCGTGTTGCGAAACCTTGCGTTTTTGTATGTTTTTTGGACACGAGTTTGACATCCTTCCGACACCGAAGGTTTTTGAAGGATTCCGGCATGCGCGCGCGACGACGCGCACGTCTGCATTTCGTCCCACTGTTTGCAGAGGAGTCTCGCGACCGCACGCGCGCAAGGGCTTTCGAAAGATTTCGACATGCGCGCGCGAAGCCCGTTTGGTAGTATGTTTTGAACATGTTGACAAGCCCATGGTTTCCTAGGATTTCGCAAGAGCGCGCGCGTAAGCTTTTTTAGAACATCAGTGTTGCGAAACCATGTACGTTTGTATGTTTTCTTTGTGTTTTTGAAGCTCGATTTTGAAATCTTCCGAAGCCGAATGTTCTTGAAGGAGTTTGGCATGCGCGCGCGACGACGCGCGCGTGTGCACTTCGTCCCGTTTTTTATGCAAGGGATTTTTTGAAGCCTTATGATTTTTGATAAACGAGAGCGCGCGCATAGTATTTTTTGCAGAGGATGGCGGGGGGGAGTGATACCGGCCTGGTTGGGATACTATCAGTTCATATTTCGGATGGGCGAGTGTGCGGAATAAATTCGAAATCGCAATACCCCAGGGGGTACTGCTAAATCCGGGGGAGGGGGGGAGTCGATTCTTCTCTTAGGAAGGAGAATTCACTTGCCGAGCTTGATTCCACAGCTCGCGCAATCATCCCACTCACCCACCCGCAACTTGGTTTGCAAAACCCATGCGGGAACGATTGCGATGAGTGCTGGGTGTTGGCTGGTGCATCTCTGCGGCCGCGCTAGCCCGCGCATGCTCGCGCGCGCAGCGGCCAGCTAGTTTGGCGCGACCGACGCGGACGCGGTGGCGCTGACCGCTCGGCACATCCCAGCGGGCACTTCAGTGGAGTCGGCGACTTGGGCGGGCGCGGTATCATGGCAACGACGACAACGGTAGACACGATGATGCTAGTAGCGATGCTGGTGACGGTGCTGACAGCGATGACTGGGCAGCCAGTGGCGGCGCCGATGTTGATCGCGACGACGGCGATGACGGCGTCTTCGCGTCGGTGATGAAGGTTTCGGAGGGAATTCGAAATGCGCGCGCGGCAGACGCGCGAGAGTGACTCGCATGATTTTATGTGACACGGACTGTGCCACCCCAGCGCGCGCGCAAGGGCGTCCGAACGATTTCGCCACGCGCGCGCGAAGTCCGTTTGGTAGCGTTCGATGAACAAGTTGAAGCATTGTTGCTTTTCTCCCGCATTCGGAAGCGCGCACGCTTTTGTTTAACATTCGCGTTGCGAGACCGCGTGTTGCTTCTTATGTTTCTTGGATACTCGATTTTGAAATCCTTCCGACACCGAAGGTGTTTGAAGCATGTCGGCATGCGCGCTCGACGACGCGCGCGTGTGCATTCAATCATGTTCTTGTGCAAGGGATGTTTGCCAATTTTTATGTTTGATATACGGGTGCGCGCGCCAGGGAACCGAGGGGGGACCGATTCCAGATTGGCTGGGATTGCATTAATTCACATGTCGGATGGATTTGGGTCATGATCATATTTGTTTCGCATAAATTCCCAGGGAATCGATCAGTCCACGGGGGGAACTGATTTGTTTTTTTGAAACGAAAATGTTCGCGATGCAACTTATGTGATGCAATCTACGCGGTGCAATGTATCCGATGCGGCGCCGGCGACGGGCGGGGATGGCGGCGACGGCGACGGGCGGCGGCGGGCGGGGATGGCGGCGAGCGGCGACGGGCGACACGGCGGCGATTTTGCGGCGAGGGTCTCGAGATGGCTAACTGAACTAAGAACCCTTAGGACATCGACGATTTGGGCCTCGTCGGGCCTTGCTGGAGGCACTCTTGGAACACTTTTTGGCCCGTCTTGGAGGCCCCTGGTGCCGTCCCGAGGCCACTTTGGGCCACCTGGGAACCATTTTCGGCCATTTTGGAGACATCTAGGGCCGCATGGCGGCTGCGGAGGTCCGTTTTTGAAGGCATCTTGGGCATCGTGGGCGCCTTGGAGAGCGCCAGGAACGTATCTGGGCACCGACAGAGCCTCTGGAAGAGGGGGTGACTCACGCAACTCTACGCGGCCTGGGAGGGGCGGGGCCCTTGCAAGATTACAACGACCCCGCCAGACAGCACTTGGCAGTTTAGCACGCCTTGACGTGCCCGGGGCCAGGGGGCACGGTGGCGAAGAGAGAGAGAGAGAGAGAGAGAGAGAGCGAGTGAGCGAGAAAGCGAGAGAGAGAGAGAGATGGGGGGACAGACAGACAGAGAGAGACACAGAGAGAGAGAGAGAGAGAACAAAAAAAAAAACAATAAAAAAACGAGAGCGAGAGTGATAGAGGCGGCGAGGGCGAGGGCGAGAGCGAGAGGATATCCCCTGGCGAGAGCGAGGGCGAGAAAGGGCGCCGCGCCCTCCCCGCCCGAGGCGCGAGCAGCACGTGTTCGTCATCCTCACCGACATGTCCTCCTACGCCGACGCCCTCCGCGAGGTGTCCGCCGCGCGCGAGGAGGTCCAGGAGGGGAAAAACACACAGACACAATTAATCGGCGATTCCCCCGAAAATATGGGAAAATTTGGGAATTGGGGGGGGAAGACTAAAACTCCGAAAATATGCGAAAATATGGGGAATGCTGTTATTTGTGTCTATTTCTTTGTGTGTCCCAGGGCCCCTTCAGAGGTGCCTGGACGTCGTGGTTACCCCGGGTACATGTACACCGATTTGTCCACCATCTACGAGCGCGCTGGCCGTGTGGAGGGCAAGACCGGTTCCATCACGCAGTTCCCCATCTTGACCATGCCCAACGACGACATCACGCACCCCATCCCGGACCTGACCGGGTACATTACAGAGGGGCAGATCTTCGTGGACCGTTCCCTGCACAACAGGCAGATCTACCCGCCGATCAACGTGCTGCCGTCCCTTAGCCGGTTGATGAAGTCGGGTATCGGCCAGGGGATGACTCGCAAGGATGGCTTGTGTCGGCAGAGGAGAAGGGAGAGGATCAGGAGGATGAGGAGCATGGAGCGTGGACGGCGAGTATGAGGAGGCGAAAAAGAAGACACGGGGAGCGAATAAGAGGAGGATATGTTGGTGTAGGAGGAGGAGGAGGATCGGATCGACTGTCCGCGGAAGTGCCCGCACGCGAGCAGCAGCAGGGATATGAGCATGAGATGGAGGAGGTGGAGGAGCGAGGAGGAGAGGAAAGGAGGGTGGCCGAGGGAGGAGGAGAGCAGCTGGAGGAGGGAGGAGGAGGAGGAGAAGGAAGAGGACGAGGAGTAGGAGGAGGAGGACCAGTGCAAACTCAAGAGTCATCAACGATGTTGGAATAAACCCTCCCTCTAAGCTCCCTCTTCAAAGGCCCCTACAACGGTTCATCTCCACTGAGGGAACTGCCTCGTTGGAGGACAACCGTTTGAAGAGCCTGCAGCGTGCCAAAACATTATTCTCGGGACTCCAACGCCACGGATCAACCTGACTGTTGCGTCTTGACAATCCTGAGTCGTGCCACAACGCCATCCTGGGGACCTCAACACCGCGAATCAACGTAACTGTTGCACCCTCATAATCTTGAATTTTTCCAACATGCGATTTCTGGTACGTTGACGTTGACCATGGGAATCGGTGAAACTCTTGCAGTTTGTACCAAGGAATGTGCGCGGCGCCAAGGCGCGAGCAACCTTTTGAAAAGGAACCGCCTCCAATTCGAGAAATCCCTGCAATTCTTTAAAAATGAATGTACGCGGCGCTAAGGCGAGAGCCACATTTTTTGAAAACCACCCGCCCTCAATCCGTGAAACTCTTGCAAGTGTTTAAAACGAATGTGCGCGGCGCTAAGGCGAGAGCCACATGTTGAAAACGACCCGCCCTCAATAGGCGAAATTCTTGCAAGTGTTTAAAACGAATGTGCGCGGCGCTATGGCGAGAGCCACATTCTGAAAATGACCCGGCCTCCGTGAAATTGTTGCTAACATTTAAGCTTCAGGGTCGTAAATGGTGAGGAAGTCTCAGGCGAAAAGCCCGGACCGCCCTAAAAACGGGCCTCGCGGTGCGACAGGGAGAAGTTATTCCCCAATAAGAGCTTGCCTCTGTAGGGGTCCTAGCGGATTCATATGGTTAGGTGAGGTTTGGCGCCGATTTCGGCGGCACGCCCAGGTGCCCGGGTGCCCGGTGGCGCCCTGTAGCCTTATAGCCCTATAACTTCATAGCCCCATAACACTATCGCCCAATAGCCCTATAGCCTTATAGCCCTATGGCCCCATAAACCTAATGACCCTATAGCCCTAGAACCCTACAGCCCTACAGCCCTAATAGCCCTAGTAGCCCTATAGCCCTGTAGCCCTAATAGCCCTATAGCCGTATAGCTCTATAGCCTAGAGCCCTACAGCCCTGTAGCCCTAATAGCCCGATAGCCCTGTAGCCCTAACAGCCCTGTAACCCTATAGCCCTAATAGCCATAGCCCTGATAGCCCTATAGCCCTGTAGCCTTATAGCCTTATAGCCCTATTTCCCTATAGCCTATAGCCTATAGGCTAATAGACCCATAGCCTTACAGCCCTATAGACCTTTAGCCCTATAGCCCTGTAGCCCCATAGCCCTATAGCCCCATATCCTGATAGCCCTACAGCCCTATCGCCCCGCAGCCCTACAGCCCTAAAATGATTATGATGTTGGTTTTTCTCCGGTATGATTTATGAGGAAAAGGCCTGGACAGCGATGATATATGGGGGAACATGGAGAAGGGAACTGGGGAGGAGGGAGGGGGGGGAAGGAGGGAGGGGTAAGGACAAGCTAGGTGCGCTCGCATCATATATGACGTCCTACCCCTCCCTCCCATCAGTTACCATGACGTAGGTCTCCTCTCTATTCACACAGCCAGATGTCCAGCAGGGCAATGATTGCGAGAGGGTGCGCGATGCATGGTAGAGCACGGCATGGCGTAGACGATCACGGCAGGCGGGGCTGATGGAGAGCACCCGCTGGTTCTGCTTCCAACATCGCCTCTTCGAAGCAGCAACAGGGCTCCCGCTTGATACTTCCTGAAAGCGACGACGCCCCCAAGAGGGGGGAGTGCTTCTGCGGCCCCAGAAATCAACGAATCGACACCGAATGTGTAATTACTTCCGATGGTTTTTTTGGGGGGTCATGTTCTAGATTTTGGAAGCTATTTTGAAGGAAGACCAGCGCTGCTGCGGGAGCACGATTCGGATCGAGCGGAAGCGCGGAAATGAGGCCAGCGCTGCAGCTGGAGCACGATTCGGAACGAGCGGAAGGCCGAAAATGAGGCCAGCGCTTCAGCGGGATCAGCATTTTGAAAAAAAACCAAGCAAAAGCCTGTCTCCGGGGAATCTTGTGTGTAAGAGAACAGTACGCGGAGGGGGGTCTGGTATCTTTCGGACGTCATCAGGGGAGAGGAGAGTAGTACTCAGATTGTGTAATTTTGGAGGAGGCGGAGGAGGAGAGCGATAATAGATGGGGGAACATGGAGGAGGAAATGGGGAAGGAGGAGGGGGGATTTGAGGGTGGGTGGGAGGAGGGAGGGGTAATAATGACGACGATGATGATGATGCTGATAATGATGATGATGGTGATATTGATGATGATGATGATGATGATGATGATGATGATGATACTGATGATACTGATGATACTGATTATGATGCTGATGCTGCTGATGGTGAAGATGATGATGCTGATGCTAATGCTGATGCTGTTGATGCTGCTGATGGTGATGACGATGATGATGCTGATGCTGATGGTGGTGATGGTGATGGTTGTGATGACGATGCTGATGCTGATGCTGATGATTATTAGGATAAGGATGACGATGACCATGAGCATGAGCATGAGCATGACGATGATGATGACGGTGGTGGTGTTGATGATGATGACGATGACGATGACGATGATGATGATGATGATGATGATGATGATGATGATAGTGATGGAGATGGAGATGGAGATGGTGGTGGTGATGGTGGTGATGGTGACGGTGATGGTGGTGGTGGTGGTGATGATTATGATGATGATGCTGACGCTGATCATGATGGTCAGTTTGATGGTGAAGGTGATTGTGCTGAGGATTATGATGATGATGGTGATGCTGTTGATGATGGTGATGTTGATCCTGATGAATATGAGGATGACAATGATGATGATGATGATGATGATGGTGGTGGTGGTGGCGATGGAGATGCTGATTATGATGCTGTTGATGGTGATGGTGATGCTGATGGTGATGATGATGGTGATGCTGATTGTGATGATGATGATGGTGATGATGATGAACATGACTAATGGTGATGGTGAGGGTGATGATGACGATGGTGGTGGTGATGCTGATCATGCTGATGCTGATGGTGCTGATGCTGATACTGCTGATGATGTTGGCGATGGGGATGATGATGGCGATGATAATCATGCTGATGATGATGAGGATGATGAGTATGATTATGATGCTGGTGCTGCTGCTTATGAGGCTGAGAATGAGGATGAGGGAAAGGGTGAGTGTGAGGGTGAGGGTGATGATGATAACGATGGATGATTTATGGTTATGATAATGATGGACATGGCGATGGTGGTGATGATAGTGATGATGATGAAGGGATGATGACGATGACGATGACGACGACGATGATGATACGGATCATGATGCTGATGATGATGCTGATGACGATGATGGTGGTCATGAGGAGGATGATGACGACGCCGCCGACGACGATGATAGTGATTGCGATGGTGGTTTTGATGATCATGATCATGATCAGGATCAACACGATGATCATGAGCATGAGCATTATGACGATGATTATGATAAAGATGGTGACGACGATGGTGGTCATGATGAAGATGATGAAGCCGACGCCGACGTTGATGATTGTGATTGTGACGGTGATAGTGATGATGATGATGAGGATGAGGATGAGGATGAGGATGAGGATGACGATGATGATGAGGATGATTATGATGATGATCATGACCACTATGATGATGAGGACGAGGAGGAGGATGAGTATGAGGATGATGATGATTATGATGATGATAATGATGGTGATAGTGATGATGCTGCTGCTAATGATGATGATGATGATGATGATGATGATGATGATGATGATGCTGATGATGATGATGATGATGATGATGATGGTGATGGTGATGGTGATGGTGATGATGATGCAGGAGAACATTGCAGCAGCAGGAGTAGTCAGCGGGTGCATTGGAGCAACATAAGCAAGAGGGGCGAGGGAGGACCACGGCAACGTGTCCGATCAGCTGTACGCCAACTACGCGGAGGGCCAGGACACAAAAGCCATGAAGGCCACGAGCCGGCTGCGCGCGGCCCGGCAGCTTGTGCGGACCAGGGAACGTCTCGTTCTCATGCTTCCCAGTCTTCTCGTATCTTCTCCTCGTAGCAAGGGATGGACCCGCTATCTGCTACGCTCCGCCTCCTCCACGCAATCCTGCTCATCGCCATCCTCGTCCGGCACCTCGCGCATCTCCTTCTGATCTGGGGCGAATCCAGTGCGGGCGTGCTCCTCCCTCCTGCCTTTGCCGTTACCTTCTTCCCTTCGCTCCCCTCTCATGCTGTAGCACTCGATTGCATGCACGCTGTGTAGTACAGTGACAGTATGACTCACACGACATCGCAGCATGTCGCAGGCCAGCCAGTTCCAGCGCGCCTTCTTGTTTCGGCTCGTCGCTCGATTGTGGTCCTTTCATTGTTCTCGTACGAGCTGGAGAATGTCACTTTGCTAAATGCTTTCACGAATCGAATCGAGTCGATCACAGGAGGTGTCGTCCTCGACCTCCGTGTTCCTGATCACGTGCGTCTTCCCTCCTCCGTCATCCCTCCGTCCCAGCTCCTTCGTCATCCACTCCTCCTCCTCCTTCTCTTCCTCCTCCTCCTCCACGAGATCCACCCCAGAGCCCCAGAGCCCTCTGCGACCAAGAGGAACCGTTTTCAGTTTCTGTGCGTTCGGTGTGGCTGCTGGGCCCAGAGGTGCTCCCGCAACCTTGACAGGGAGTGCCAAAGACCCTCGAGGAGGGGCCGCGAAGTACTCAGTAAGTATTCGCGAGGACTGGGCCCCAGCAGCCGAATCCGTCACATGATTGATAGAGCTGCAGCGGTCACCGCTATGTCTGTGATCCCCAAGCCGCGTTGTAAGACCCAGGCTCGTACGTCTGTGCCTTCGGCCCTGTCGTGTGCCCCCACCGTCCCTGTGTATGAGAGACGGTTGGCCGCCCTCGCTGAGCGACTGCGGGTCAAGGAGGCTTTGAAGGCTGAGGACTAGTTTTTGGGCGGTGGCACCCCGTCGCGGGCCCTGGTCAGAGTGCGGGGAGCTCTGTCCTCCAGGGTGACAAATCCCTCTCTGAAGGGTGCCACCTCCCCCTCGTTTCGTTTTAGTCTTGCGAGACTCTTCCCCTCGGGGCTGTCCTAACCTAAAATCATCTTCATCATCTCTCTTCCCATTCCTCCTCTTGCCTCGTCCGTCACAGCGCCAGCTCAGGCTGCTCATAAAGCCGAACTAGCGCCACGGAGCGTGAGCTCCGCCCCGCCCTGCCCCGCCCTGACCTCGCGCCCCTGCGCCGCCATGGAGTGCGTGCGCCGCCCACGCCGCCCGAATCTGTCGGCGGCAGCCCGTCGCGCGCAGACGCTGCGGGTTCGTCCGCGTGCGTTGCAGCACCCGCTTGCTGGCTTTGCCGAGGTGGGGAGCCGCCGCGGCTGCCGGCTTGCGCAGCTGCCTCGGGGCTGCTCTGCAGGGCACGCCAGCGCAGCCATCGCCGCTGGCGCTGCCATGGGCGCTGCTGGTGCTGCACCAGAACTTGCGGAGTTCGTGGTGAAGAGCAACAGGTGCGCGCTGTTCTGGAAAGCCACCGTCGTGGTGATGTTGAAGGTGTTAGTTATGATGGTGCGGGGCTTGCTCCTTCTGATGCGACTGGTGGCCTTGCTGGTCCTCGTGGTATCTATGGCAGCTCCTCGTACACCCCCTGCTCATGTAGATCGTGGTCCTCGTGTTGATGTTGCCCAATGTCATGCCAGCCCGCCAGCCCTTGCCTCGCGTTCTGCCCAGTCGGGTGGTTCGTTTCGCGAGCCGCGCAAAGGCTGTTCGACCACATTCGAAGGGCAAAAGCAAGGCCGCGAATTTGGGCGAGACTGATGCAGAGGTGGCGCGCTTCGCGCGCGGTACAGCCCGCTTCGCTTTGCGCGGCGCTGTATGACTTGTTTGTGTCTCGTCGCTTAACTTTCTGGACCTTGGTCTTGGGACGCAGGCCGGTCCATGGTCCGTGATCTCCGTCTTCTCCTCTTCTCCCTGCCCTTGCCCCCTTCTCCTCCCGTCCCACGTCGCTGGATGTAAATCACAAGTGCTTTTGCGTGGCACCTGTGAGAGGCATGCTTTGCACGATGATATACGACGGGAGCAAAAAGGGGGATGGGCAAGAAAGGGGGGGGGAGACAGCAGGGATGCCAAGGAGCTGGCGAAGGATGGCGAGGACAGGATGGCAAATAAAGATGTCGCAGGCCTAGAGGTTGACACCAACACCAACTTCGGCGGTGTGCTCCGACCGAGGGCAGAAGATCCCGATCTCGGTGATGGTGGTAATATTCTGGCTTCCAAGGTGACCGAAATATTACCACCAACACCGAAATCTAGGATCATCGTTCCCCTGTGGAGGCAACCCCCTGTCTTGGTGTTGGTGCCCATTTCCAGGCCTCCAAAGATGGGCGTTGTGGGACCGGGGGCTCCCTGCGATCGCCGCGCCCTCGTCGGCCACCTGCGCCGCCAGGCCGTCGTCGGGGAAGAGGCCCTGAGCGAGGACGAGCACAAGTAGCCGGCTGCCTGCGGCAATCCCCGCCACCGTGGCGCTGTGCAGCAGCACTACTGGAAGGAGACCGACTGTAGGATTCAGCCACGCGCAGAGGGGGAGGGGGAGGGCTTCTTAGAAGCACTTCTTCTTAGAAGGCGCGGGCCTTATTTATAGATCTAAGGCCGGCGCCTTCTAAGAAGCAGCCTCCTTCTAAGAAGCCCTCCCCCCTCCCTCCACCCCCTTGTTCGCGCCGCCAAAGAATCAGCGCAATTCCACAAGTGGTCCGATAAGGACGGGTCACGAACTCGACCTCGTCTTCGTCCGCGCGGTAGACCGGAGGTCCGGTTCACACCCCGCGGCAATTTAGCGAATGGTCTGCATTGGGGACGGTCGTGATTCAAACATCGTTTTCGTTCGCGTGGTTTCTATGAGGAGGAGGAGGAGCAGGAGGAGGAGGAGGCCTTCGGAGGCTGTCGTGGGGGCCTCTCTGGGCCGTGTTGGTGCCCTCTTAGAGCGCTTTAGGGCCGTCTTAGTGACCTCCTCAAGAGGGCCCCAAGACGACCTTAAAGCGGTCCCAAAGAGGCTCCCAAGATTCGGAGCCTTTTTGGCGATCTTGGGATTCTTTTGGGCCGACTCGGAACCCTTTGTCTTTGAGCTACCTTGGAAGCATCTTGGGCCGTCTTGGGCGGCTGGAAACAAACATAGGTGATAGCCTCCAAGTCCTTCAAAAGCCTACGGCAAATCCATGATTGTGGCCTCCTCGGGCTCTCCTGGAGGGCCTCTTGGAGCCCTCTTGAGCCCTCTTGGGAGCCTCTCGGGCCGTATTGAGGCCGTCGTCAGAGCCTCTTGAGCCGTCTTGCACCATCTGCAGCCGCTTTGGTATCGCCTCGGCTGTCTGAGACGCCGTCGTGGAGGCCATGTTGGCCGCTTGGAGGCCGAAAAGACCGCCAGAAACCAATTTCTGAGGGGCGATTGTTGGGCGCTGCGTAATGGGGGGGATCATAAATGGGGGGGTGGCGAGGGTGGTCCGAAAAGGTTAGCCCCCTGGGGCTCCAGAGGGGCCCGAAAGGGGCACGAAAGGGGACCGTTTCTGACCCCCCCATTAATGACCCCCACATTGAGCCACGCCCAAGGCAATTTCTCGACGACGCGGGCGCTGGGGTCGGGAGGGGGTCTAGAAAACACGTTTAAAACATCCAAGACAGCAGACGAGTATTCTACCACGCCCACTCCGTGTAGGCGCGGTGGCGGGTTTAGAGTTCTTGGACAAGTTCGAGCTCAAGTTTCTGTCGCAGGGTCGCGCCGGTGGAGGGCGGAGCGTCAAGCAAGGGAGGGGTCCCGCGCGAGGATATGCCCAGCCTGGAGGGAGGGGCAGAGGCTTCGGGGATGGTGCGACGTGGACCTCGATGAGTGTGGGTGGATCGTGAGACGGGGATTGTCCTGGCCTCTAACTGCTCCTCACCCTCCTCTCACACGGTGCTTGTTCTCTTCCTGCTTACCTTTTCTTAATTATCATCCTTCTGATCCTCCTCCTCTTCCTCCCCCTCCTCCTCTTCCCTCACGCTCTTATTCCCGATCATACTGTGGTTTGTTTTCTCGTTTTGAACGGGCAACCCCGCCTTCCAGTTTGCTTCCTCCTCCCTCCCCCCCCCCTCCATCCTCCCATCCCTGCCTCCGCCCATGTCGGCACACCCCTCACGCCTCGTGGCCCCAGAGGGAGTTCGTCCGCGTGCCTCCGTGGCGCAGTTCACATGCTGTTCCCCAGTGATTTCGGCACACCCCTGACACTGTTCGTGGCCTCATAATTTGGGAGCTCCACCGAGTGCATCCGTGGTACAGATTGCATGCGGTTCTCCACTCACTGGTACACCCCTCACACGCTTCGTTGCACCATAGAGAGCTCTACCGAGTGCTTCCGTGGCGCAGTTCGCATGCGATTCCCCGCTCATTTCGGCACACCTCTCACATGTTTCGTGGCCCCATAGGGAGCTTCATCGAGTGCCTCCGTGGCGCAGTTCGCATGCGGTTCCCCGCCAAGTTCGGTACACTCCTCCCACGCTTCGTGGTCCCAATAGAGAGCTCCACCGAAAGCGAAGGCCACAACGCGGTACTCCCAACTGCACATGGTTGGATCTGTCGCCAGGATGGTTGCGGAACTTTGTTTTGCGTCCAACTCGGTACCAATATATTTAACTTCGGTGTTATTTCGTAAATATTTGGAATTGCGTGAAGCGAATTGGTAAAATATACTATTGTCGAAATTCATTCTAAAACAACAGTTTCCCTTAGTATCGCCTTGTGTGTTCTGAGTGGAATCTGCACAGCGGTTTGGGCTTCTTGGTCGCCCCCAAGAAGCTCCAGCTCATCGGGTTCTGCCACCACTTGCCCTGGTGTCGTGGGTGACCGTTGCCAAAAGGATCCCGCTCTAGGCTGCTTTGGGTGTCGGGGTTGGCCACTGCCCAATGGGTCCCGCCTCTCGGGTCCTGCCGTTGTTGTCCTTTGTGTCGGCCAGGCAGTGCTTGCAGTCTCGCGCGCTGAATGAAGAATTGGTTCTGTACACTCTAGGCGATACTTAAGAAAACCCAAGTTTTCGGCTAGGGTCTCGATTCTTCTTAATGTTTCAATGTAAACCCTGAGAGTTGAATAGACATTTCGAGTTTTCATTCAAATTCTGAGACTCTGAATTTCTTAACCCATGATTTCTAAAGCATCTCGTAGGGTGTAGTTCAGATGGTCCAGCAGCCGCCCGCAGGCTCCCGCCCAAACATCTCGCCCTTAGTTGCCGTCAGTGTCCGTCGAGGACCTGTTGATTGATTGGTTTGTGGCGGACCGGCGGCACTGCATCAATTTCAAACGACATGTTTTCCAAACAGTGTTTGCTGTAAGGGCGCCCTACTGATTTCGGAAAGAGTTGAAATTGATCGGCGGTGTCTGCATGGTCCAGCCCAAAAGGTCTTGCGGTCCGGGGATGCGGAAGTGGCTGGCAACAGGGTCCCGCATGGTCCTTCGTGTCACGTCAAGCCCACACGGGCCCGTGGTCGGTTGTGGAGATCTAGTGGAGAGCGGTCCTGCCATCCAGTGGCTTCCGTGGTCGCGGGGGCTGGTGCGTGGCTATAAGAACACCTGCCGCTCCAGGGTTTGTTTTTCTTGTGTTTTCGGTTGGAGTTTTGAGCGAGCCTTTCGAATTTGTATTTTGAGAATTTGAGATGGCAGTAGGGCCTTGATGCAGGGAGTTTGAATGAAGCGTGCGTCCTGGATGTGGCAACTTTGCCGGTCTGGTGGGAAATTTGAATAGGGCGAGGTGCTTGGATGCAGAGAGTTTGAAAAGCCGCGGGGGCTGGATGCTGGGGATCTGAGTATGCAGCGTGCCCTGGATTCAGAGAATATGAGTAGGAAACAGGGCCTTGACGTGACGTGTTCGAATGGGCAGTGGGCCCTGAACGCGCGGAATTTGAACAGATGGGCTAGGACGCAGTAAATGTACTTGTGTTGTGGGGTTTGCATGCATGGAACTTGCTCAGCGACGCACTTATGTAACAAATCTCAGTGGGTGCCACGGTTGGGACGGCGAATTTTACCATGCAATGATTTGTGTTTCAAAACTTTGGAAGAGAGAACCGGGTTTAGAGTAGGAGCGTTGAATTGGCAGTGCGGTTTGGAAGTTGTAAGCGCTTGTAATGGTTGTATGCCCTATACTATATGAAAAGTTGCGATTGAGATTTACGATCTGACATTCCACGTGCAGTCATATGCATAGAGCCATGGATGGAGAGAGTAAGAACCGACAGCGCGGCCTGGAAACCGGTGGGTTGATTCAGCATGGCGTTTTGGACGCAGGGAGTGTGAAGAAGAGGCAGTGGAGCCAGGATGAAAGTAGTGTGATTGGACGGTGAGGCTTCGGTGCGCGGGTGGTTTCATCGACAGTGGGCATTGGATGGAAGGAGTTGGAGTTAGCATGGGGGCCTGTATGCGAGGAGTACATGTTGGGCAACGTGGCCTCAATGTAGGGATTCTGAGTGGCACGCGAGTCCTGGGGTGTGGGGAGGTTGGCTAGGCAATGGGGCCTGGAAGTGGGCAACTTGAAAGGACAGCGGGGCCTGGACCTGGAACAACTGAATAAGCCATGAGGCCTGGATGTGAGGATTTTGAATCGGCGGTCTAGCGCAGATGCGGGGAGATCTAATGGACAGTGAGGCCTTGGCGTGGAATTCAGAGTTGGCAGCAGGTCGCCGGATGCAGTAGAGTTCGACTGAGCAGTGGTGGCTTGGCCATATTGCCTGTTCAAAGTTCTGGCATCCAGGACCCACTGCTTCCTTGAACCCAGCCCCATCCCGAGAGCATCTCCTACGTCGAGCCCCCCGCTACATATTCAACTTCCCCACAGCCAGGCCATACATCTGATTCAATGTCCATATAACCAGGCCCCACTGCCGCCTCTAAACCCTTACATCCATACCCCAACGCCCACACAAGAAACATGTCCCTTGCATCTTGGCTCCACTGCCGATTCAATTTCGCTTACAGTTAGGCCCGCTGCATGTTCATTCAACCTCAGCATGCAGTCACCATTTTGGGCCCGTTGCCAGTTCACAGTCGATACACCCAGGCACCACAGCCTAACACAACTTCCCACATCCAGGCCTGGCACCCGCTTCAAATTCCAATATCCAGGCCAAAGCCGCTTACTCAAATTCATTGCATCGAGACCCCGCGCTCACGGGACCCATGCAGCACAGCCGTGTCGGTTCTTTATCTCCAAACACGTTCGCCATGCCGCGTAATTTTTATGTCCGAAGCCTATTGAGCATTCTCCATTCAGCCTAGCTGAATCCAGGCCTCAGAACTTGTGCACACGGGCCCCGCTGACCGTTCACGTGTTTCGAAATCCAGGCTCCAGAGCATAGTCGCATGCCGTGGTGCCCAGCCATGTGCACTGATTCCCTGCATTCGAGCCCCTGTGCCCACCTTCTTCATGCCCTGCTTTGCCCCCCTCCTCCCCAGTCCCACCACACCCACCCCCGCTCTCCGCCTCCCCAGGACGGCATCAGGACACGATGGTGAACGCGGCTCGTGCAGCGCGAAGCGAGAATGACGTGAGTTAGACTGGCGAGATCCGTGGGGCCACCGCGGGCCAGTCCTGCCTCGTCTTGGAGCCGTCGTGGGGCGGGAGAGGCCTGGAGAGAGGGCTGCAGGTGGAAGGGGGGCGCACCTTCGGGCGCACCCGTGTGTGCTTATTTTGTTTTCGTATCTCGCGCTCCGTGGGGGTCGTTTTCTCCTTGTACGTTTTGATCGTTCTCTCCATATATAACGGTTGCTGGCACGGTACCATAGGCAGCCACATCGACGCCCGCACATCGGACAGCAGATTCGAAGGCCTGGCCGCAATGAGTATGTGTCGCTGAGGCACAGCCCGCTCCTCTTCCCTATCCCTAATTCCATCCAGTCCCCCTTCCCCTCCTGGCTCCTCATCCTGACTCTTGCTCCTGCAGGTCCTTATGAGAACCGCGACATCTTCACCTCCCTGGACCTCGCGTGGACACTACTGCGGATCTTCCCTCAGGAGCCGCTTACCTGCCAGGGCCATCTTGACGACGACGATGAGAACAAAGATCCGAAGGATGCTTACGAGGACGAACGCGAAGTGGAGTGGACGGGGAGCAATATAAGAAGGAAGAAAAGGAAGGTGACCTCCGAAATCAAGATTTCGCTCATTCTCCTTCAGATTCTGACAGGTCCGCCTCAAAAATCAGGGCCTGAGGTTGAGGCCCTGCCTGGTGGCCATCCCTCATGCTCCTCCTTCATGCCCGCGAACGGTCCAGATGCTGACCCATCGCCCAACAGACGCACAAGGACGAACATGCACAAATGTTCGTCCTTCGGTGATTGTCGGCGCCCCCAGGAGGGACGGGGTCAGTGACTTGGACTTTCGCGGGGACGGGCGAGGAGCAGGGGGAGCAGGAGGAGCAGGAAAATGAGGACGAGGAAGAAGCTGGAGAGGCGGACCAGACGACGACGACGACGACGACGACGACGACGACGACGACGACGACGACGACGACGACGACCTCGGCGGCGGCGGCGGCGGCGGCGGCGACGAAGACGGCGACGACGACTACGAAACGACCACGAGCCTCCTTGGCTACGTCAGTGCTGTCCGACAGCAGATCCCCTCCTCGAAGGCAGCTTCTCGAGGCCCAGCGCGTGCCCGACCCCTGGGCCGAGCTCGGACCTGCGGACGGCCGATTTCGCCATGAATCAGGAGAGGAAAAAACACACAGACACAACTAATCCTCGATTCCCCAGAAAATATAGGAAAATATGGGAAGTGGGGGGGAAGACGGACACCCAGAAAATATAGGAACATATGGGGAATCTGTTTATTTGTGTGTATTTATTTGTGTGTCCTGGGGCCCCTTCAATGAAGGAAGGGGGTCCAGAGGGAATCGGGCCCTGAGCCCGGGGCTTCGGTCTGGAGCCCATGGACGGACCTAGGGACCCGAAAATTGTGAAGCGATCTCAGGAGGAGGAGGAGGAGGAGGAGGAGGAGGAGGAGGAGGACCCCTTTGCTCCTGGACACCGCTCTGTTCTTGCTGACGGCTCGAGTTCCGATTTTTGGGTGCGCGAGCCTCGGGCCTCTCCGGCGTGCCGAGCACGAGAGGCCTCCGGCCTGCGCCGCCGGTCCGAGGCGCTGCGGAGGTCATTGGATGGTCGTGGGCTGGCCGTTGGGCCGGGCCTCCAAGGTGGCCCCACACGACGGCCACAAGAGAGCAACAAAGCGACCCAGAAGGCTCCCAAGACGCCCAAGAGTGCTTCAAAGGCGGCTCTGAAGAGGGCCCACAGGAGGGCCCCAGTCGGATGTGCCAGGAGAAGACGGCCCAAGAGGCTCCCAAGAGGCCCGCAGGAGCTCCCAAGAGAGGTCTGCAAGAGGCCCCCAAGGAAGCCCGGTGTATGGAGATGCCACCAGGACTCCGACATGAACTTCGGACCCAAGGACCCGGACTGGGACCCCGGTCCGGAGGAATCTGCAGAGCTCCCCGTCCCAGGTCCTTGCTTGACCTAAAAGGGGTCCAGCGAAAAGGGGGTGGTGCAATAGGTTTGTGGGGTTGCCATAGACTTTGGGCGTGCAGTACAGTCCGGTGCGCAGATGTAGTGCTGGATTTTCGCGTGCAACGCATTAGTTGCAATAGAATGCAATACAATTTTCCGGCGCAGTACATTTGCATTACAATTTCCTCCAATCTATTGCAGTTCCCCTTTCCAGCTGCTGAACCGTCTTTTTGGGTCAACCAAACTGGTTCCCAAGGTCGCGTACCGGGCCCCCGGGCTCCTGGTGACGGTCCTGAGTTCCCGGTCCCGGGCTCCTGGGCCTTTGGGCCCCCGCCTAGAGGATTGAATCATTCATGCTTCTTGCACCGTATTTAGCTCGAGTAAGTTAGCTACTTGCGTTAGCTACTTATGACTACAGACAAGTTACTCAGTTGTTTTTTCCCATGCAGTTTCGGGGGTGACACGTGTCACCCACTGCTTTGTTTTCCCAGGCAGAAGGGCCCTTTGTTGGCTCCCAAAGAGCAAAAACACGATTGGTTTGTGTCAAACGGTTTCGGTGGCGACACGTTTCACCTGGTGCTTTTGTCCAGTTGTCCAAGCTAATTGGCTCCATGTTGGCTCCCATGATCTTAGTTTTTCTCAAACGGCTTCAAGTGTGAAGTGTGATACGTGATACCCGCTTCTCCATATCCCAAATGTGGAATTGGTTTTCCTCACGCGGTTTCTGGGGTAACGCGTGTCACCAGCTGCTTTTCTGAGGCTGATTGCCCCCACGTTGGCCTCCAGAATCCCAAATTTACAATTTGTTTTCTCACACGGCTTCGTGGGTGACGCGTGGCAGCCGCTGCTTTTCTGAGGCTGACTGACCCCATGCTGGCTCCCAGAACCCCAAAGTCACAATGTGTGTTTTTTCCCATGCGGTTTCGGGGGTGATACGTGTCACCCGCTGCTTTCTTTTCCAGGCTGAGTGGCACTTGCTTGCGCCCAGAACACCAGATTCACAATTGTTTTTTGTGGAGTGGCACGCTGCTTTTCCCATTCCAACTGACCCCATGTTGGTTCCGAGAATCCCAACCTTACAGTTGGGTGTTTCTCACGCGGTTTGTGGGTGACGCGTGTCGTTCGGTGTTTTTGTTGAGGCTGCTTGACCCAATGTTGGCTCCCAAAATCACAAGTTTACGATTTTGTTTTTCTCACACGGTTTCGGGGCTGACACGTGTCACCCGCTGCTTTTCTGAGGCTAATTGACACCTTGCTGAATCCCAGAATCTCAATTCACAGTTGGTCTTTCTCAAGCGGTTTCGGGGCCCGTTGCTGTTTTGAGGCCAAATGATCCCACGCTGGCTCCCAGACCGGGGGAACTCGTTCACCTTTAGACCATTCGGTTTCTTTTCGTTTGTGAACCCACCCCCGACCGACGTGGTGTGGGGAAGGTGAATTTGGGTGTCATATCAATCACCCTTCCTTGGCAGCGGGGTTGGGGAAGGGTCCTGACATATCTCGCAATGGGGTTGCATTTAAAGCCAGACCCCTTCTTCAGAGCCGGGATCTGCCATGAGTGAGGGTGGGGCACTGGGTCGCCCCTTTTAATGATAATGATCCTGGAGATCTTGCAGCGCTGTGCCATCGTGAAGCACATTTCGCCTCGCGTGGGACTTGAGGACATGCTCAAGAAGATCCCTGCCAAAATCAAGGATGAGTTTTACAGCCGCGAGGGAGAGATCCAGAAGGCCGCGCAAGCCATCCGCTCGTAGAGCGCCAAGGCTGCTCCCACCCCGCTGGAGGGGGAGCAAGATAGAGCGAGAGAAATGCATGGGGTGGGGCACAGGAGTGGGAGTACGGGGGCCGTGGGAGCCGAGAAAGGGATGTGGGCCGTGGGAGCCGAGAAAGGCAGGGAGGAGAGGACGGCTGTCTTGAGGCCGCGCCAGCTCGCGCAGGCGAGGCCCGAGGAGGGGGGAAGGTGGTGGAGGCTCCTCGGGAGGAACTGGGGGACAGAGCAGGGGCAGGAGGAGGTCGGAGGGATACTCCAGATTTCGTAATAAAGGGAGGGGGGTATCATTTCGGGGGGGTCTCTTCCAGGCTATCTTGGAGGGCCTGGGGGGTCTGGGGACGATGTTTTGGAGGGTTCTCCCACGGGGGAGGTTTGAAATGGCTTGTCTTGGAGGGTCCAGACCCCCTCCCTTCTATTACGAAACCTGGAGTAACTAGATTATCCAAATCTGCCTCCCAGGTCGCTGGCTGATGGTGCTGCATACGGGTTTGGGTTTGCACACACACACACACATCGCTTTCAGTATTGCGAGCTCTCGTGGCTGCGCGTTCGATTACCCATCGCCCTCTGCCGCCTATTTCGCCCCGCTCCTCATCCCTCCCCTCCCCCTCCCTCATCCTCTCGGGCACCAGCACACTGCCGCACCGCCAGCAGTGGCAACAGTAACAGCAAAGATCTGATACACAAGACGTGATGATGGTGAGACGTTTCCTGTTGTTCCACGCGGATTCCAGAAACGAGGGCACGTGCATTGAGCCAATGGGGCCTCATTGCATCTTTTTCGTCCTATATAAGGGCAGGCGGGGGGCCCCGGCGCACCGCCAGCAGGCCCTGCCGAGACAGGGCGGGAGCACGCCGGCAAGCAAGGGGCCACGGCCTCACCCAGCGGGCGGCCGGTCGGCCCGCCCCTCCTTCCAGGGGCAGGACGGCAACGGGGGCGAGAACGACGGGGAATGAAGAACGGCTCACCCTTCCAGCGCCTTTGGGACGCTGGTGTGACAGTTGTCGAGCAGTGGCGAAGCGTCCTGGCTCGCCTATAGCCCTACCAAGCATTGTTCTGAGAACCTTTCGTGGTTTCCACGGAATGTTCTTAGAACATTTCTGGCGCAGCCTGTCTTGTTTTATCACATCGGGCTTATGTTCTAAGAACATTGTTTTGGTTATTGGAACATTTGTGGGTTCTAAGAACATGTCGTGGTAGGACTATAGGAATGCCGGGACGGTCGGTCCCTGCTCAACCACAGCCGCTTCCCTGCAACCTGCAGCCCTCGACCGCCCCTCGTGCCCAGTGGAGGCACATGCCAGGAAGCACCCTGCTTGCCTCCAGGGTGCCCTGGGTTTCTTGGGTCTCGATGGCTTCTACTCTGTTCCCACACCAAAATCAATGAACGTCCTGGGGTCTCAAGGTCGGGGTTCTCGTGGAAGGTTTCTCGTGGTCGAGCTCCTACTGGATTGCCCCCCCGCTGGCACCCACCCAGAAGCCTCGTCTGGTCTGGTCTTTCCTTCCTCCTCGTCCTCCTCCTCTTCACGGCAGCCTAGCGTGGCCCACCAGGAGACGGCAAAGCGAAGGCTCTCCAGATAGGTTACCACCCTCCTAGATTCACGATGCTTGGTGAAGGAGAGGCGGATCTAACAGAAGGGGGCATGCGGGTTCCTGTTCCCAGGCAGGGGGAATTGTGTGAAATGTTTAAATCAATTTTCGGGGCCCACACCCTGCGGCTGGCGCGTCTGCTGGGGAAACACAGCGCCACTGTTTTCAGCATCAGCCCTCTCCCCCGCGGAGGCACAGCAACACGTAAACGCTTGCTTTTGTCGCAACCGCAGGCGAGAGCGCCAGCGGCGAGTCAGGTCCGAGCGGGCCGCGCAAGAGCCGAATTACCTAACGCCGACGGGCCGGCGACCTCAGGCAGCGCCTCGGCGGGCGGGCCGGCGAGAGGGGGGGTGCAAGTTGCAGCTGCAAGGGATCTGGTCAAGGGGCGCGCACATGCAAATTAGCCAACCAGGGACGGGGCGCAGCCATAATGGCGCGATGGTAGTACCAGGGTGTGACCAGGGAGGCGGACAGCCAGTATACTGCGACGATTGCCATGAAGCCCAAACTGGTCCAAGTGGTGCACAGGGTGGCGCTACCAAAGTCGCACACCAATTCACGGAAACCCTTGCGCGGAGCATCCAGTTTCCGCGCCCACCCACCCGCTGCCATCGATCGCCGACTGCTTGAGGAATCGTCACTGGCCGCCCCGGGGGAATCATGCGGAATCGTGGGGAATCGGCGTTGGGCTTCACTGCCCCCATGGCCTGCTTCCGTGGCCCACCCGCAGCCAGCCCATGACCTACCTGGGGCCTGCCCATAGCCCGCCCATAGCCCGCACAAGGCCTGACCATGGCCTGCCCATGGCCTGCCCATGACCTGCCTATGGCCTGCCCCTGGTCTACCCATGGCCAGCCCACGGCCTTCCCACGGCCTGCCCACGGTCCACCCATGGCATATCCGGACCAGACCAAGCACATTACAATAATGTTGCTGTTGCTGCTCAGCGCGCCAGCCCGTGCCAGCCACGCGGCTCACACGGTTTTCGGGGTGACGCATGTCACTTTTGTATTTTATGGCAATGCATGGTCCCAGGTTGACGTTCAGGGGTGCCACTGATTTTTCTCACAATGTTCGTGGTGGTACGTGTCACCCTTGTTCTTTGATGATTTTTGTGACCCAGTGCTGATGTTGTGACCCCAGGTGAAACGATTGTGTTTATCTTGCAAGGTTCGGGGTCACACGTGTCGCCCCTGCGATGTGTGACCCCATGCTGATGCTCAGGATCCAAGTCGTGCAGTTGTTTTCTGAGCGTGTTTCTTTCTTGCCTGGGGCATGACGGGCGGCATGGCCATTGCCCCCCGCCCCCCACCAAGTGCACTCCAGGCACTGCCACCGTGCACATCGGGATCCGCATAGGTGTCCGCATCGAAATCCGCGTAGGAGTCTTGGTCCGCAGTCGTCGTCGCCGTCGTCGTCGTCGTCGTCGTCGTCGTCGTCGTCGTCGTCGTCGTCGTTCGTCGCTCGTCGCTCGTCGCTCGTCGCTCATCGTCGTCGTGCGCGCGGACGCGGCTGGAGCCTGTTTTTTTCATTCCAGGCCTATAACGGCAATCATCTAAAAAGGGATGGAGGAGGCCGACAACGTCACGTTTCGCGCCGGCGGCGTTTGGGAATGCCTAGGAAGGACCGAGAACGGGTAGCAACAGCATGTCGATGGTGATCTGCACCACAACGCCTGTGTACACCACAGTGCCTGCGTGTACCACAGCGCTTGTGTACACCACACCGCCTATGAACACAGCAGCCGCGAGCAACGCAAGGATGGAGAGACGAGGGCTCCTCCTTCTCCTTCTCCCCGTGCTCCGTTTGATCCTCCTCCTCCTCCTGCTCCTCCTCCCGGTGCTCCGTTTGCTGTTCCTCTTCCCCCCCCTCTCTTCGTCCTCGACTTACGCGGGGCAGTCGGGCCGCTCTGTTGGGGTCGTTTTGAAGCCCACCCCGCCTATCGCGGCCATGGCCTCCCTGAGCCGTGCTGGGCTCCTGGACGCCCAGCGCTCAGGGCTCCCTGGAAGCCTTCTTGGGCAGTGTCGGGTTCCTTCGGGAAGCTTCCTCTGGCTTGGACCCAATTTGACCCCTCTGGGCCGTCCTGGGGCTCTCCTGCGGCTTTCGGAAGGTTTTCCATGACGTCGTGGGGCGATCCTGGGAGCCTGGAGGCTGGGAAACGCGGACAGGCGATCACACCAACTTCTTTCGACACCATCGCGTTTTGCAGTGATTTCGGCCTCCTGGGTGCGTGCATTATCGGGGTCCTCTCGGGGCCTCCTTGGGCCGTGTTGGGAGCCTTCTGGGCCATCTTGGCACTACCCGCATGAAGCATTTCCAGGACCTCTGGTAGCCTCGTAGGGGCCTCTTGGGGCATCTGGGTGGCGTCTTAGGGGCCTATGGGGCCCTCCTGGGGGCGCTCGTGGGGTGGGGCCTACAGCGGCGCTTGTGGGAGCATCAGTTTGGAGGCTCACTGGCACCTCTCCAGGAACATTGTGTGGGATATGGGCGTGAGGCCTGTTGGAGGCTTCTTGGGGTCCCTTGGGAAGCCTCTCGGGAGCTTGTTGAAAGCGTTTCGGAGGTCTCTGGGGCCTTCTTGTGGCATCTGGGGGGCGTCTTGGAGGGCCTCCGGGGGCCTCTTGGGGCCAGATGGTTGTCCCGGCTACTTGGGGGCCTCTCTTGGGGCGCTATTGGGTTTGTTTTAGGCCTTTTGAGGGGGCGTGTTGGGCCGTGTTGGTGTTGTCCTGGAAGTCTTGGAGTCCTATTGGGGACGCTTCGGCAATCTCTGGGCGATCTTGAGGGCACTGGGCCATCATGGGCGGTCGGGAGATAGGAGCAGGGAAACCGTCAACATGAATCGACAACTCGTAAGCGAAATTTATTCTCGAGGCGTCCAGTGGGCTTCTGAAGCCGTCAGGAGCCAATCTGGGGTTGTCCTGGAGCGTTTCGGAGGTCATTGGGGCGACCTTGATGCATTCTTGGGCGGTTTGGGCTCCGTCTGTGAAACCCCAGGCTTCTGGGCCTTCAGTGGAAGTCCCCATGGGGCCACAAAGAGTGTGAGGGTACGCCGAAATCTTGTGGACCAGGCGTGCGGACCCAGGCTTCTAGGCCTTGGGTGGAGCCACTCAAGGGGGCACGAAGCGTGCGAGGGGTGCGCCGAACTGGCGTGGACCAGGCATGCGGACCCAGATTTCTTGGGCCTTCTATGGGCCCCCCTTGTGGGGCCACGGAGCGTGTAAGGAGTGTGCCGAAACGGTGTGGACCAGGCATGCGGACCCAGAAGCCTTACATGGGGCCCCCTTCTGGGGCCACAAAGCGTGCGAGGGGTGCGCCGACAAGGCGTGGATCATGCATGCAGACCCAGCTTTGGGGGCCTTCGGTGGGGCCCCCTATGTGGCCACGAAGCGTGTGAGAGGTGCGCCGAATTGGTATGGACCAGGCATGCGGACCTAGAATGTTGGGCCTTGGGTGGAGCTCCCTATGGGGCCACGAAGCGTGTGAGGGGTGCGCCGAAATGGTCCAGATCGTCGGGCCTTAGGTGGAGCTCCCTGTGGGGCCACGAGCCATGGGAGGAGTGCGCCGAAATTGACATGCTGAGGGCAGAGGCAGGTTGGGAGGAGGGAGGAAGAGATAAGGAGGAGGACGCGGGGCGATGCGAATTCAGAACGAGGACCCAAATCAACACAGCATGGTTGGGAGTCAACGAATTTGGCCTCCTGGCGCCCTCTTTGGGTTTCTGTGGGTGCCTTCTGGAGGTGTCCGGGGAGCTGATGGAGCCCGCTGGAGGCAACCGGGGGCTGTCTCCGAGCGTGTCGGAAGTCCTCGGGGCGACCCAGATGCGTGCTGGGGCGGCTCCGTGGCAGTCTGCTGGGCTCTGGGGGGATGGGTGTTGGCGTGGTGTGTGTGTGTGTGTGTGTGCAAATCTGTGGGCTTCCCCCTGGACGTCGACCTGTTCGCGTTCATCCTCATGCAGCACTTGAGGATGGTGTTTTCGATGCGCCGTCGACGGCAACACCACACCGCTCACCCTCCGGGACTTCGCCTCTGGCTCCTGTCCACAGCGTACCTTTTCCTGTGCAAGCTCCTCAGCACCGCCTGCACCCCGCGCCCTCCGGCCACCTGAGACTCCTCCCGCCCGCGCCCTGTCTCCCCAATTAGTGCTTTGCGCGGCCCGCCTAGCTCTTAACCGGAAGAGGCTCGCTCTCGACCCGCAGACCAAAAAGTGTGTGTGTGTGTGTGTGTGCAAATCTATGGGGGGGGACCCGGGTGTACATACTTTCAGAGGATCAAGACATGCGTGTGTGGTGTGCGCGTGTGCATCTTCCCGACGCGCTCCTCCTGGTGAATGCGGTCGAGGGAACGACAGTTCGTGGACACTCCCCCCGCTCCCCCAAGCTCAAAGTTGGTACGCGCGGGGAAGACTGCGGTCGAAGTGCAGCTCATTCAACCCACAGGCAGCATTGATCACTGGGGGGAGACATTGACAGATGAATGAATGCGGCATGAGTGTTCGCTCATTTCTTCCGAGGCCTGTCAGCGGGAAACAATTAGTGGACACTCCCCCGCTCCCCCAAACTCAAAGTTGGCACGCGCGGGGAAGACTGCGGTCGAAGTGCAGCTCATTCAACCCTCCGCCAACATTGATCACTGGGGGGAGGCATTGACAGATGAATGAATGCGGCATGAGTGTTCGCTCATTTCTTCCGAGGCCTGTCAGCGGGAAACAATTAGTGGACACTCCCCCGCTCCCCCAAACTCAAAGTTGGCACGCGCGGGGAAGACTGCGGTCGAAGTGCAGCTCATTCAACCCACCGCCAACATTGATCACTAGGGGGAGGCATTGACAGATGAATGCGGCATGAGTGTTCGCTCATTTCTTCCGAGGCCTGTATTACTCTACAGGTTTGCAGTGTTTCACGGGCTGGCCCACTCTGGGGACCGCCGCCAGCTTCGGAACGTAGTTCGCCGTCTACCCGGAAGGCCAACGTTGCGTGGGTTAGGGTTGATCTCGGTATTGGAAATCCCCTTTGACGTACCCAACCCTGTCTGAACAGACGGTGACATTTAGGACCGCTCACTACAAACAGACATGTTGAAGGATTCGCAGTGCGCATGAACTATTAGAAGTATACCAACTCTTCACGCAGGAATGGCAATATGGGGACGGAGACAGAAGCATGCGGAGGAGGGTGACTGGGGGCCATACATTTTCAGAGACAGTGATAGCGCCGAGGGCGACACAGGCGGGACAGAACAGCGCCATGCCCCCTGGAACAAAACAGCACGTCGCGCTGAGCGATGCAAGCGCGACGGGTTGTTTTGCTTCAGAGCTGGCAGCCCCCCAGGGAGCTGCGAGGTCTCGACGGGATTCCCATATCACCCCATTCCGCTGGACATCCCAGGAGCCCACGAACATGGCGACAGTTTCACGCTTCGCAGCCCCCCAGGGAGTCGCGAGGTCTCAACTGGGTCCCAGTGTAAATCCACTCCGCGCGACCTCCCAGGAACCCACGAAAATGGCGACACTCTTACGCTGCGCAGCCCCCCAGAGAGCCGCGAGGTCTCGACGTGATTCCCATACCACCCCACTCCGCTGGACCTCCCAGGAGCCCATGAAAGTGGCGACAGTTTCACGCTCCGCAGCCCCCAATGGAGTCGCGAGGTCTCAACTGGGTCCCGTGTAAATCCATTCCGCGCGACCTCCCAGGAACCCACGTAAGTGGCGACAGTCTCACGCTGCGCAGCCCGCAAGGGAGCCGCGCGGTCTCAACTGGGTCCCCGTGTGATTCCTCTCCGCGCGACCTCTTGGGAGCCCACGAAGATGGCGACACTTTCACGCTGTGCAGCCCCCCAGAGAGCCGCGAGGTCTCGACGGGATTTCCATATCACCCCACTCCGCTGGACCTCCCAGGAGCCCATGAAAGTGGCGACAGTTTCACGCTCCGCAGCCCCCAAGGGAGTCGCGAGGTCTCAACTGGGTCCCCGTGTAAATCCACTCCGCGCGACCTCCCAGGAACCCACGTAAGTGGCGACAGTCTCACGCTGCGCAGCCCGCAAGGGAGCCCCGAGGTCTCAACTGGGTCCCCGTGTGATTCCACTCCGCGCGACCTCTTGGGAGCCCACGAAGATGGCGACACGTTCAGCTGTGCAGCCCCCCAGAGAGCCGCGAGGTCTCGACGGGATTCCCATACCACCCCACTCCGCTGGACCTCCCAGGAGCCCATGAAAGTGGCGACAGTTTCACGCTCCGCAGCCCCCAATGGAGTCGCGAGGTTTCAACTA